CCTTTAGTTTTAGACAGTAGAAGAATGAATTTCACTAAATAAACAAAGAAATCTCACCTGTTTCCTTTATTCTACAGCAAACAGGTTTTGGCGGGCATTACTGCTACTGAGTGCTGATTGGTTAGCATTACTGCTACTGAGTGCTGATTGGTTAGCATTACTGCTACTGAGTGCTGATTGGTTAGCATTACTGCTACTGAGTGCTGATTGGTTAGTATTACTGCTACTGAGCGCTGATGGGTTGGCATTACTGCTACTGAGCGCTGATTGGTTAGCATTACTGCTACTGAGTGCTGATTGGTTAGTATTACTGCTACTGAGCGCTGATGGGTTGGCATTACTGCTACTGAGCGCTGATTGGTTAGCATTACTGCTACTGAGCGCTGATTGGTTAGCATTACTGATACTGAGTGCTGATTGGTTAGCATTACTGCTACTGAGCGCTGATGGGTTGGCATTACTGCTACTGAGTGCTGATTGGTTAGCATTACTGCTACTGAGAGCTGATGGGTTAGCATTACTGCTACTGAGCGCTGATTGGTTAGCATTACTGCTACTGAGCGCTGATGGGTTAGCATTACTGCTACTGAGCGCTGACTGGTTAGCATTACTGCTACTGAGCGCTGATGGGTTGGCATTACTGCTACTGAGCGCTGATTGGTTAGCATTACTGCTACTGAGCGCTGATTGGTTAGCATTACTGCTACTGAGCGCTGATTGGTTAGCATTACTGATACTGAGTGCTGATTGGTTAGCATTACTGCTACTGAGCGCTGATGGGTTGGCATTACTGCTACTGAGTGCTGATTGGTTAGCATTACTGCTACTGAGCGCTGATTGGTTAGCATTACTGCTACTGAGTGCTGATTGGTTAGCATTACTGCTACTGAGCGCTGATGGGTTAGCATTACTGCTACTGAGCGCTGACTGGTTAGCATTACTGCTACTGAGGGCTGATTGTTTAGCATTACTGCTACTGAGCGCTGATGGGTTGGCATTACTGCTACTGAGTGCTGATTGGTTAGCATTACTGCTACTGAGTGCTGATTGGTTAGCATTACTGCTGCTGAGCGCTGATTGGTTGGCATTACTGCTACTGAGCGCTGATTGGTTAGCATTACTGCTACTGAGTGCTGATTGGTTAGCATTACTGCTACTGAGCGCTGACTGGTTAGCATTACTGCTGCTGAGCAACTACTGCTGCTACTGTGTTTGGCGAGCGGAGCAGCTCATTGGCTGTTCGCGCTCACTGACATCATGAACGTACATGAGACCCCGTTTTAAACTCCTATAACTCGAGTTTAAAAGCTCTTAAAATATAACAGCGGTATTAAAGTGTTTTATGCTGCTCCGAGTTCAGGAAATGATTGTATTACTTTACATCAAAAATGTTTCAGCATTTATAAACTATGATTCTGCTCAAATGCTCCATATCAATCCATTCAATTTGGATTCACTCTGGAGCGCCATCTAGTGTTTGAGAAACCCGGAAGACATTGCAGAGCGGAATTCTCATCTCTACAAGTTCTCTGGTAAAACCTCAGCCTGGCTCCTTTTCTCTGACTGAAAGCATCACTGGCGTCCATTTTGTTGGTTAGCATTACTGCTACTGAGTGCTGATTGGTTAGTATTACTGCTACTGAGCGCTGATTGGTTAGCATTACTGCTACTGAGCGCTGATTGGTTAGCATTACTGCTACTGAGCGCTGATGGGTTAGCATTACTGCTACTGAGCGCTGATGGGTTAGCATTACTGCTACTGAGCGCTGATTGGTTAGCATTACTGCTACTGAGCGCTGATGGGTTGGCATTACTGCTACTGAGCGCTGATAACAGCGGTATTAAAGTGTTTTATGCTGCTCCGAGTTCAGGAAATGATTGTATTACTTCACATCAAAAATGTTTCAGCATTTATAAACTATGATTCTGCTCAAATGCTCCATATCAATCCATTCAATTTGGATTCACTCTGGAGCGCCATCTAGTGTTTGAGAAACCCGGAAGACATTGCAGAGCGGAATTCTCATCTCTACAAGTTCTCTGGTAAAACCTCAGCCTGGCTCCTTTTCTCTGACTGAAAGCATCACTGGCGTCCATTTTGTGCCGAGTAAAGACAGAATCACTATATTCTTTATGATTTTGTTTGTCAACTGAGCTAAGAGTCACTCTAACGCTAGCTTGGTCATATTTATTAGCCCCTATCAGTGGCTAGGCTAGCAGTCAGGATTGGTTGGCACTACAGGGATTCCCAATAGTTGTATGATGTATATGGGAAATGCATGCTGGGTATTGTAGTGAGAGAACACCAACGAACAGAAATGTGAAAAAAAATATATATTAAATTGTGAATTCCGTCAAACCTCTAGTTTTACGCCGGAACACAGCTAAAAACTGAATAAACCACCTTTTACACATTTGTTAGTGTATAAAAAAGATTTTGCTCTACTTAAGGATAAATCATTTAAACGTTAAAAGTAACATTAATGATCTGAGATACTGAACAACACTGAGAAGGGCAGCATTCATAAGGCTATAAGACACCTACACAGGCCTTTTTATGACAACTGACATAAACATATAGACATTTATAAGACTTATTCCGACACAAATCACTTGCTGAGGTGAAATGACCTCGAAATTAAACAAAAGCAGCTTTTATGACAACCAATGCTTGTTGGAATAAGCATTTATAAACATTTGTGTAGGTTTGTATCAGTTGTCATGAAAGGCTAATACAGCCTTATGAGTTGCAGAAATCTGCAGTTGCAGATTTGAAGTATCATTTTATACCTATATGTTTGTATTATTTTTTGTATTATGTTTCTTGTGTTATGTTACTGCAAAGTGAAACACAGACAGTCGAGTGAATGAATGTGTGTGAACGAATGCGGAGACTCCGGTTGGTGGATGTGCAAACATATTCAAACAAAGTCTTATTTGCTGTAATGAAGAAGTTTTATGTGTTGTGTTTTTTTAAAATGCAGAAAAAAAGAAAAGTTTTGAACAGCAGACCAGAGGCGATGCGTACAGAACACAGAATTCATTTGCACTCGTTCGTTAGCAACGTATGCTAACTGCAGTACAAACAGTAACAGTATCGAGTAGGCCGAGGATTACTATTTACTGAAAACGAACAAAATAAACCTAAAACGGTAATGAAGATGAGCAGTTCGGTCCCTTTGCTGATGATATTGGTTTCCACACTACAGTCCAACAGGGCCACGGCACAGTTTAGGGCCTTTTCCCTTATTTAACGCACCTGATGCAGCTCAGTAAGGCCTGGTAATTAGCTAATGAGCTGTGTTGGAGGTGGAAGTACTTCACTGTACAGTGCCATGGCCTGGATTTGGGTGCCATTACTTATGAGTAAGCATCATCCCTTTGAATGGAAGTACATGTTGGATTTTAAAGCTCACTTTTTGACAACAGCGTACAGCCTTATAACCGATACCATAGAAATTATCGTTAATACTTCTGATATAATCTCAATCTGCTGCATCTGTAGCACGTAGAAGCAACTGCCCATTGACTTCTATTATAAACGTGTTTGGAGTCGTCGTTTTTCTGTCATTTTCTAAGAACGGGGAAGCGTGTTGAGATTCTCGTCTGTGGTAATCGACCGTCTGCTACAGATGCACCAGATGGACATTAGGTTGAAAAATGATGGCGTACACCTTTAAATCAGAACACAGGACTCCAGCTATGGAGAGCTTTAGCTTGAACGGCTAAACAGTAACTTCTGGGGGGGGAAATCTGCATTTAATATAAATTAAATATGTTTATCGAGCTCAACACATAATAAGGCTGTGAATGATCCAACCACTCTGAACGCTCAAACCTCCTCATAAACATAAAAGCAAGAAAGAAAAAACAGGCTTCGTCAGAAACTCGTTCCCAAAAAAGTTAGCAACAATATTTTACATCTTCCTCTCTCGGTTAATTCTCCTCTCGTCAGTTGTGCAACATCATTCAAATACATTTCATATATATTATAAATATATTACACTCAGCAGCGAACATTTTCCAAAGCACAGTCAAACCGCAACAACTTATTTTACACACTTTCCCCAACAGACACTCTTTTACAGAAACTACTCATTAATTCATTCAAAACAGTTCAAGCAACAGATCAACCACACACGCTAACGGTGCTAACAAGGAACAGAAGCTAGCGCCACCATGCATGTTGTTTATTTTCGTGGCTGTCTACTTTCGTTCGCTGTCAGCAGCATTAGCTTTACTGAATTAATATATATTTATATCTTTAACAGTATTGAAAGTAGTTCCTATATGAGAAACCATATAGGCTCAGCCCTAAAACAGAAACACAGAGTTCATTAATATCCCTCATCAAACAGTTTTAGCGACCGCAGAAACTCAAAATGAACACCAGATGGAGAAAAGCTGATTCTCTGGCTGTTTTCCTTTTCCTTCGTCAGTGAGACGTGTCTGAAATTTGCTTTGTTAGCTTAGCACTGAAGCTACGGGGCTAATGTAGCCAAGCAGCAGAAACTAACAACTGCTAGGTTAGCATGGTGCTAACTGTATGCCTAAATCAACACATACTCGCCTCAAACAGAGTTTAACTTGTTCAGTAATCTCTAATACACTTGATTATGTGGTTTCTAACACTGTATGACAGACTGCTGTCTATAAACATGGATAAAAGTACGTCAGCATAGCTAAAAACAGTATCAGCCAGCTTGAGGGCTGAGTTTTGTCCATACTTCAGTACATTTTTCCAGATAATAGTGTTTCTTACAGTGTCAGAAATCACATACTCAAGTCTACTAGAAATTACTGAACAACTCACACAACATTCAGTGTGAACAGCTTCCGTTGTTACTTGTTCACTTGTAAGTTAAGTTACTTGTAACTTGTTAGCTACATTAGCTTTTTAGCCCCAGGCTTAAAAATAAAGAAGCTAACTCCAGACATGCCTCAGCTGACTGGTTACAGTTGGAGTTGTGTGTGGAAGTTACATCTGATTTATTTTTTACTTTTTTGGCTGAAATTTTGTTTTGAGAACAAAAACAATGGTGAAATTTGAATTTCCTGACAGAAATGGAGTCAATGCAGTTTAGTGTCTCCTTGCCTGATTCACCTCATCATTCTGTAGTTGTGCGCCGTATTAGCAACTCTGGGTCTAAGCAGGTTTTCTCTGTGGGAAAAATGTACGTGTTTTTGAAAACTCGTACTCTGTAGGAAACTAAAATGTGGGTAAATCCTGTCCTGTGTAGAACTTACGAGGTTGTTTAGCAGTCAAAATGCAAGTAATGCTACGTACAGGCTAATAGCAAGCTAACTGAAATGATGCAGCATTAAGCGTCGTTCTACTACTAAACTTAAACTCTGTTATATACCAACATCAGCTACTCCCAAAGCCTCCAAACTACCACACTGGATAGAGCCTACTGGTTTGTTTGGGTTACTTTGGTGAGGTCAGCCATGGTGGTAGTTAGCATGTACGTACGAATAATCATATTTTGGCTTCTTAATGACCTCGTAATTCAGAGAAACCAGTGATATTCAGGAGAAAAACGTATGTATGGAGAAACATATCGTGTGTGGAACGTTTTTGTTTACGACAACACTTTAGAGCGATTTCTTGAAAACGCTGTTCATTTTTCTCATAGAGAAAAACTGCTCAGGCCTGGAGTTCCTTATTCGGGGTGCAGAGAAACTGATCGGAGAGCAGTGGTCTAGATAGAACTGACCATTCCAGGCTTCGTCCACCGATAAGCTCTTTCACAGCTACTGCTGTGGGGTTGAACGAGCTCGTCAGGACAGATCAGGCGTAGTTTTTTTGCCTCGTTATTAAGCTAACGTTAGCATGGTGGCTAACTCTGTCCTTCACAACCAACCGAGTTTTAATTAGATACAACAATCCAGCTCAGTAGTGCAGCATTTTAAACTGGAAACTCGACCCTAAACAAATGTTGCTACACTGCTGTATCTCTTTAGGCTGAGGGCGATTATTACCATTGAGAATCTTGTCCAACTTCACATCAGTAGATATAAAGAACACACCTGTGGGTGAAGCCTAGAAAGATCAATGCTAAGCCTCCCAAATAAAGAAGAGTAAACTGATTGCGGATTAGAAACAGCAAAGTGGATCAAGTAGCTGAACAGGCACTGAGGAACAGCTTTTTCACTGAGCAGAACTGTGTTGGTGCTAAAACGCTACACCGGAAAAAACGATCACTTCTCAAGATGATATGTAGCTTAGACTCACTTTCCAAACACTGAAGACCATCTTAAAGCGATAGCTTGGCCAAAAATCAAACTCTCCCAGATACAGCTGATCAGCCAAGACGTGTTTGGTGTCTGAAGTTTGTTTCTTTAGTCTTAGCAACGGAGCTACAAGGATAATGTAGCTGTAAAAAGTAACGTATGTACTTCTGTCCATGTTTACGGACAACATTGGTCGTCATACATCTTTTATACATAATTAGAAAACGACAGCTGGCCTTTACATTGCATGAAAACTTTCGGTTCCATTGACTTCCATTCAAAGTTAAGAAGGTTCTATCCTAAGTTACCTGTTTGGAGACAGTTATGATAAACAAGTGTACTTTATATTACTTAACATCTTGATACAGTTTGAGGCAAACGCATGCATGAAGCTAATTATCAGCGTAGCCTCCACTACTTCTCAGCTACATTAGCTTCGTAGCTCCAGTGCTAAAAGAAGCAAACTTCAGACACGTCTTGCCCACCTACAATTTGGGATTTGAGGGGCTGATTAAGTTTGATTTTTGGCCCAAGTATTGCTTCAATTGATGACCAGACCAAGAAGAAAGTGACAACACTGAGTGTAAATCTGGTACGAGTGAAGAAATTTGGCAAGTTCTATTGAGAAACGGTCCTGCTTTCATGACCTCAGCAGAGAAAAAAAAACAAACCTTTTTCCCAGAGCTCTGACTAAACTGGAAATAAATAAACAACGACAGATGACATCAGCAACGAAGAGACAACAAAAATAGCAAAAGGAATAAAGCTGTGGAACAAGGAAACACCGTAGGTAACCCAAACGTTCTTTCTCAAGACGGGACCCGACCAAATATTGGCCTAAAAAAACAAAAAAAAACAACAAAAAAAAAGCTTTTTAAAAGTGCCCGTTATGATAAAAGCAATTTTCTCCCAGAGGCAGACGGACAGATGGAGGTTTAGAGGGATCATTCGCTGCTGTATGTTTGTTTTTTGTTATTTTCATTTTAAGAAGCCTGTTGCATCTCTTGGGGCGTCTCTGATTCCTCCTCCTCTTTGGACAGTTGCCTGGGGCTGTTTTCATGGATCCCCAGTTTGTTTAGCTCGTCCTCCGCACTGGCCAACGACGCCACAGTAACGGTGTGCTCCTCCATCTGCTTCTGAAGACTGTCCATTTCCTGCCTGCAAGGAGAAACAGAAAAAAATATTACCTACACATGACCCACACAGTCATTCTGACAGACTGCAATACACTACAGGAAGTGTAGGGGGCGATATGGCTTCTACTGTTTCATTTAAAAAGCCTCTATAATGTTCATATGATCCACACAGTCATTCTGACAGGCTGTAATACACTACAGGAAGTGTAGGGGGCGATATGGCTTCTACTGTTTCATTTAAAAAGCCTCTATAATGTTTTGAGTACAGCAGAAACGTCATGTAAATGGATACATGTGTGTGAGACATACTTTAGCTGCCGTAAGCAGTTGTGCAGGTTATTGAGCGGTTCTTTGTTGACGGAGGCCGAGGGTTTCAGCAGCTCGTCCAATAAGGATGCAGGTACAGGACAATCCGGAATTTTCACAGGGGTCACTGGGGTCGAGTCACCTTTCGCATCCATCCGCTGATGAAGGGAAAAAACATCATGTTAAAATCCGATTAACACACATACATTACAGTAATGTTTTAGTACAAACGATCATGTCTTCTTTATTGGTTTACACTTTATTACCATATTAGGGTCTAAAGACACAGATTTAAAGGAAAACAATTTCACATAGAGGTGGCAGAAATGCAAAATCATGATACTTGAAGTTTAGGCAAAGGCTAAACACAAATGACCAGCTCCTTTATGTCCACTGCCTCGTAAATGAACTAGACATCGGGAGGTGGCGGAGTGTCGGCTGTGTTTTCATTTGAAATGTAAATGAAACGTCCCTGAATCAGACACTAAACAGACTACAGTTAGCAGGATCTGCACTGTTTGTATGTTGTGTTATCTGTGTGTATTTGTGACATACCAACATAACGGTTATGACAAAACTCACACCTGAGGAAGGATTTCAACCAGCACACTGCCCACTACGACTACACTCCAGGTGCCACAACCCAAATGTTAAGAAGAGCCATTTTGTCCTTTCAACAAAAATCAATCCATCTTGGGAGCCACAACATTTTATATCCATCTTGGCTGCTAACATGTCTCAGTATGTGCTAATGTACTAATATAGACTAAACATATAATATACACGAAAATGCAGACTAACTTTGCTCTGCTTTAACCTTTAGCTCAGATATAGCTGCTTTTCTCGCATCTCCAGCAGGAAACTTTTCCACAAAAGTGGAACAGTTTCTTGTAAAATGTCTCAACATTCGACTTTTTAAGAGGCTGAAGTCGCTTCTCAATCGCCAGCATCTTGTTCAAATTTTCCTGTTCCACCTTAAATGGTGCCGGAGGCGCCAGAATGTAACTGCGGCACTATTTAATGTGGAACGGGACAATTAGAACAAGAAGTTGGCAAATGAGAAACTGACTACAGCTTCATGACTTTTTAGTGTTTGAGTTTCTCATTGCAGATTAAACGTATCAGGAAACCATCTGGAGTGATTATAAACGCAAATAAGTCCATTCGTCTCCAAATTATCGATGTCTGTCTTAAATCTCTCTCTTTGCTGTTTCGTTAGCTACTAGCTAGGTCAGACTGTTATCTACGTTGCTATGGTTACCAGCAGTCTGCGCGCCAACCCGTTTAACTGCCGATCACTGTCCTAGACAGACAACCAAGGCAATCCAGGAAAATCCTGGATGGGTGGGAACCATATGTGTCATGTTTCTTCAGCAATATCTGCTCCTGATTTAGCAGCACAGCAGACAGAAGAAAGAAATCGTAACCGGTCTGAGGTGGAAGTGAATGGTATGATATGATATTTGGTTCTACACCAGATAAGAGGCTGCGTCAAGGTGTCCGCGAACTTGTGACAGGCCTCGTGGCATGTGCAGAAGAAGACTGACCTTCCTGGTGCGCGGGTGTTTGAGGTCCTGTTTGAGCTGCGTGTTCTGCTGCAGCAGCGTCTTCATGCTGTTCCTCAGCTCAGCCACTTTAGCCTGCAGGACAAACTTGTCCTTCCTGGTGCTGTTCAGCTCCTCCTGGACCAGCTCCAGCTCCACGCGCACCCGCTGCGGAGACAAACACCGTCAGACAGACAGCAGCACATCGGCTAACGCGCTTATAAACAGCACAGAGCTCAGCATCACTGAATGTGTTTGACTGCTTCAGAAAATCATCAACCAGCTTCTAAGACTGAACTTTGGAGGTGTGTCTGCAGATTCTTTGAGGAACTGAAAGTGAGTCTCCTGAGAAGAATGGAAGCTGGAATAAAGGTATAGAGTGACTCATTGAATACAGAATAATCTGATATTATATTCAGTTGTGTAGTTTTATGTTAAGTATTTGTTTTCTGCTTGAAATATTTCCATTTAATTGCTGTTTTGACTGGAAATTAATTAAATAATTGTGTTGGGTGGGAATACATAAACGTTTAACATGCTAATATTGCTAATAAGGTATTCACATCAATATAAAACAGTTTTTTCACATAAGCAGTGCAAAAAAACAATATGCTGTGTACACACATATCAAAAATGAAGTGACTTCACTACTGGATATTACAGTAATTAGTGGCCAAATCATCAGTGAGGTCAATCAGATCATAATTCAAAATAAAGCACAATATAAAAGTCATTTTAGGCTAAAATGTCACATGATACACATATTAAAATAAAGTAATTTTACTGTATCACTAATAAGAAGCCTAGCATGTCTTACCTAAACTGTGTGGCTGGATTATCCACAAAAAACAAAGATCAGATTGGACCAATATTGACTGATACTCAACATTAAGGTACTCAGTGGAGAAAAAAAAAACGGGACTTTCCATATTATAAGTGATTGTCTGTCCGGACGCTAATCAGCTCCTCCTTTGTTTCCCCTCTGGTGCTGATCCAGCTCTAATAAAACTCTGTCGAACTGCCAGAGATTTGGAAGCTGTGCACTAAGCTTTCTGCCATGTATATCTGGGTCTGACCTGCAGTGTGTCCTGCACGCTGTCCAGCTCTCTCTGGCCGCTCTGCTCTGAAAGCTCCAGCTGGTGGCGCTGTGCCTCGATTTCACGCTGCTTCTGTTCAACTTCCCATTTCAGATCCTCCACCTGCAGAGACAAAACACAGACACAGGTCAGCAAACAGACGCTGTACTGTACCTCCTACGTCCACTGACTGGCCACTTTATTAGAAACGCCTACCTTGTGCTTCCACTAACTGGCCACTTTATTAGAAACACTCACCTTGTACTTTCACTAACTGGCCACTTTATTAGAAACGCCTACCTTGTGCTTCCACTAACTGGCCACTTTATTAGAAACACTCACCTTGTACTTTCACTAACTGGCCACTTTATTAGAAACACTCACCTTGTACTTTCACTAACTGGCCACTTTATTAGAAACACCTACCTTGTGCTTCCACTAACTGGCCACGTTATTAGAAACACTTCACTTATAGCTCCACTATGTAGGTGTAGTTACAGAATGTGGTCCATCTGTTGCTGCACAGCTCATCATTGGTCAGTGTGACAGGACAGCTGCTGTCCAGAGGTAATTTGGGTGGTCAGTGTATCTGGACAGTGGTGATTCTATGGTGATCTTTTACAGTGATGAATGTTATAGAGGGGGCTGATACACTGTGCAGGAAAAGATGGACACAGTGGAGCTATATGGAAGGTGTTTCTGATAAAATGGCCAAGTAGTGTAGCTACAAGGGATGTGGATCTAATAATAAACTGCAAGCCATGTTTTATTATTATTATCATTATTATTATTATGGTTAACGTGACTGATTTACATAAACCCGTTTACTGACTAATAAACAGCATGTGTGTGTATGTGTACCTCCTGGTTAGTGAGCGGCTGTTTGTTGAGCTCATCGTCCAGCTGTTTCTGGAGGATCTGCAGCTGTGCGTGTGCCTCCGTGAGCTCCGTCTGGAACCGGGACACTTCCTGAGAGCGCTGAGCATCCTGAGCTCTGAGGGAACGTCAGAAAATCAGAGGTTTCACTTCGTACAGAGATAATTCAATACAGCAGCAGAACTGCAGAGTGTTATATTCAGGATGCTGGAACCTGATGACCTTCACCACCTCACAAAATCAATTTTACACAGTCCTGGCTCTAAATATAGCTGACCATCCAGGACAGGCTTATATGGTTTCTGATAGCGCTAAAATGTAAAACAGTATCATCAAGTAGCTAAAAACAGCAGCAAGAAGCTGTGGGAAACATGATGATCTTTATTAGTATCGTGATCAACTGCATCACATCACAACCTGCTTTTCTCAGTGTACTGCAGAAATGGTAACTTTACAGGAGAGGCCAAAAACGCCTTTAACTTTCAGTGTAAGTTAATGTAAAGGGATTTTATTCTAATTGATCTTGGGGCATTTCTATTGGTCCAATCACTATTCGCTATAACAGACTCCTCGAGTGTTCTACTGCTTTTACACAACAGTTAAATAAATAAAGTGAGAAATAAATAAACTGGGCTGTGAAGGTGGCATTTAATATGTTTTAATGTTCGCAGTTCCTTCACCAAATTAGAGTTCCTTAACAAGCAGCTTGTTGCTGCATCAGAGTAACGAGCTCCGCCCACTCGCTGCACAGCCTGCTGTAAGCCTCGCCTTTTGAAGTACAGACTGAGCCATAAAACTGCCGCAATATCAGGTTTAGCTCAGTTTTGTCATTTTTTGCCAGATCAGTATTAATGTTGTTTCGTTCCAGAAAGCATCTTACAGCCCATTTAGCTTGGCGAATGGTGTTGGGTTCATTTCTGGCTCATTCCAGGTTGTTTAGCTGTTCTTCTGTCACAGCTGCAATCGGCTGTCGGTCAAATGTGATCTTAAAAGTGTCCATTTTCTGTTTGTGGCGAAGTAAGAAGTAAAAACGTTAAAATAGCTTGAGCATCTCCTACAGCTGTCAAAGTCGTTGCTTAGCAACGGCATCTCAGCAGAGTGATACAGTGTTTGTGAAAAACCTGTGATGTTACGGTGAAATAATAGCATAGTTAGAACACTTCTCAGCCAATCAGCTTGTGTGGCCGGAACTAACTGTTGTATAAAGAACAACAAAAATCGACAAAAATGGAGATGCATGTTTTTCTTTGGACAGCGACGATAATTTGTTTGGTTTCCTTGGATTCTGTGCAGCACAACTGAATAAAAATTAACATAGTTACCGTGCCTGACAGTATTTGTTAAAATTTAGCACTATACTGATTTTTTGTCTATTTAAGCTTCCTTTACATGTCAGCTGCATTAGCCTCGTAGCTCCGGGGCTAAAACTAAAGAAGCAAACTGACTCGGCTGATCAAGTACATTTGAAGGGGAAACTGATTTTTCACAGAGCTGTTCCTTCAACAAAAAAGATCCTTTCATATTAAAGAGGGTAATAACCCCCTCAGACGGCCCCTCTGCCCCGTACACTCCTGTCTGAACGTACTCCAGTGTCTTGGCCTGCTCCTGCAGGCTTTTCAGCAGCTCCTCTTTGGCCTGCAGGTCCTTCCTCAGTTCACTGAGCTCTAGCACTGCCGCTCGGTAATGCCTGCGGTTATGACCCGCCTCCAGCTTCGCCTCCGCAACCTACAACACAAACACACAGTCTAGACATTAATCGAGTAATCAGAGATTTGAAAAAGCAGAGAGCAGTAGGAAAATTTAAAATATGTATTATAATGCAGGCTTGCACGATTTTGAAAAATCAATCTACTGGGACAAATCTATCGATAAATAAAGACCGTTTTTGTCAATTCTTAAAGCCACAGTTTGGCCTTCTCTACTAAATCCTCCCAATAGTTCATAATTATTGGTTGATAAGTGGTCCCAGCCATACTGCCAACCTAGATCTTAATCAGAATTTAAATCGATTAATCCTGACAGTTTGGACTGAATGATTTATGGAAAATTTCTAAGTGCAATTTTTCTAACCCATATCATGACAGATTTGAATTGGGATTATTTCTTTCTAAACATTGATGTCCAAGTCTGTTTTTTGGCCTTAAAAGACTATAATATCCCTTTTTTTCTGGCTTGAGGCCTAAACGATGACCGTAGTGCACCAAACTGCCCATTAGTTGTGGTTGTGATGTCACAAAACACGGGTGTTTGGTTGCTTCTGATTGGTCTAATGAATCTACAGGCAGTTCATAGGATTCACGTTGCTAATAATTTAGGCTATAATGAAAATTGGCTTATTTCTTATATAGCTTGCATACATGTATATAATCTAGTATATATAATGAAAGTGTGCCTGTGTAGTGTTTGAGATCAGACCCTGTGAGCTAAAGCTCGACTGGAAGCCTGTCAGCATGTTTACCTGCTCTGTGAGATCTTTCACTTTAATCCTCTCCTTCTCTAGAGCCGTCTGCAGCGTCTGAACCAGCTGCCTCATCTGCTGGTCCTCCTCCTCCTTCCTCTTCAACACGGCCTGGACCTGCAACAGTTTAAGTCACGTTAATAGAGGACGCCTCACTAACAGTGCAGTTCACGTGTAGGTTATAGCAGATCTCTCTATGAGCCGTGATACAAGTTCTTCACTTTTCACTCGTTTTATGAATGAGCCTGTTTTTTAATGCAAAGAGGAAACCAGGTTTCATTCTAGAAAGCAACTGAAATAAAGGATCCCCACCAATCGCACAATTAAGCTTAATCAGTTTGCTGAAAACTGCCCGTTAGTTTAAAATCTGTATGTAGAAAATGTCACTAATTTTGGCACAAATAGTTACACTTGTGATGTATGTTTGTCTATAAATAAACCAAAATAACCAAACACTTTCTTAGAACGGTCTTCTATATAAAAATGCAGCTATTTTTTTCTGTGCAATATTTACAGTGTTCTTATCACTTGAGCACTTTATCACTATTCACCAATGTCAAGTTCACATTTCCTGTTACACTGTGTAATAATACTGTCACTGAGAATAATGTGCAATATTTCTTATATTTCTTATATACATATATATTTTTTTCCCCGCTCTCTCTATTGTGTGTTTTATGCCTGTCCATGTTGTCCAGTTTGTCTATGTGCCTTTATGTTACATTTACGCATCTTTCTGCACATCAGAGTTGGAGAAACAATCTCGTTAAGCTGCGCAGTGCTTGTTGTACAGTCTGAATGACAATAAAGTTCACTTTGACTTTGAATTGAAATGAATTCAATGTGTTTAATATGTTTGGTTATTGCAAACTGGCGAAGTTAAAAAATATCCCCAAGCTTCTCTCTGCAGTTTAACAGCCTGTGGAGTTTGTGACCTGCAGGTTGAGCTGGACCAGGTCCGCCTCCCTCTTGGCCAGAGCCGTCTCCAGGATGTTAGCGTGCTCCCGCAGTGCATTGTGGGATTGCCCCAGTCCAGCCAGCTTCCCTTTCTCGTGCTCCAGCTCCAGCGCCAGCTTCTTATTCGCCTCCTCCAGGCGGCGGATCCGCTTCTTAAAACAGCGCGACTCCTGAAGCTGCAGGCGCAAAGGGAGGACAGACAGGTCAGTCGAAAGAGAGAAAGACATAAAAAATGAAAGAGAGAGAGAGAGCGAGAGAGAGAACAGAGAGGGAGAGGGAGAGAACAGGGAGGGAGAGGGAGAGAGCGAGAGCAAGAGAGAGAGACAGAAAGAGAACAGAGAGGGAGAGAGAGAGAGAGAGAGAGAAAGAAAGAGAACAGAGAGAGAGAGAGAGAGAGAGAGAGAGAGAAAGAAAGAGAACAGAGAGAGAGAGAGAGAGAAAGAAAGAGAACAGAGAGAGAGAGAGAGAGAGAGAGAGAGAGTGCAAGAGAGTGAGCGAGTGAGTGAGAGAGTGAGAGAGAGAGAGAGAGAGAGAGAGAGAGAGCGAGAGAGAGAGCTCCACCTCGTCCTCGAGCTCCAGCACTTTCTCCTGGTACTCCTCCAGCTCAGCACTGGTCAGACTGATGACCTCCTGCAGCTCCTTCTCCAGCAGAGCTTTACTGTGCAGAACAGCCTTCAGCTCCGCCTGCAGAGACTCCAGCTTCACCTGAGAGTTACATCATCACAGAGCATCAGTACCTCAACTACCTCAACATCAGTACCACACTGATCAACTCCATCAGCATCAGTAAAGCTCTGATAATGATAACTGATAACTGCTCATCACAGATACAGCAGATTCTCATTACGTCTCTGTAACCAGTCAAATCAGCAGGTCAGTCAGATTATCTGAGCACCGTTTACCTGCAGAGCCTGATTGTTTCCCCCCTCGTCCACCTGAGCTCGGAGCTTGACCAGTTCTGCCTCGGCCGTTTCTTTTTCGGTGAGCGCCTCCTGCAGGCGGCGGCTCAGAATGCCCACTGCGTTCTCGTACGCCTTGTGCTTGGCCTTCATCTCCTTCTGAGCGCTCGTCAGATCCGTCCCCAGCCTCTTCATCCTCACCTTCTGCTCTGAGATCGCCCTGGAGGAGGACAGGGGACAGAAAACGACTGCCTCAAACATCACAACAGTTATCAGTGCATCAACCTAACGCTGTGCCCACTTCACCACTTTCATTATTAGTACTAACTTACACTCAAAGAGTGGGCAAAACAGACACTTTGGTCCAAAAAAAAGTCAAAATCCTGACAATTGTGCCCAAAAAACTGGAAAAATCAAAAATATGTTTTATGTTTCCATATTTTAAACACGTCTATAATAACTTCACAAATGATTTCACTGGTAATGAGAATAAAAAATTAAATCAAATTCCACAACAAAAATAAATCAATTTACATCAATGTACAGTGAAAGAAATAAAATCCAGCAGCTGGATTTAATTTTCAGCCCATCACTATTTTCTAAGTTAGGAAAGCCCAGTTAGCATGACCTCATTTCGATAATGCTAACAGGGCCCTGCTGGACATTCAAAACTAGGATTGTTATCATTTTTGAATGAATGAATGGATGAATGGATGGATAGATGGATTGATAATTCATGATGGAGCATTTGAATAGTGCTGACAGGATCCTTTTGCTTTATGGATGCTTTACATCCATTATTAGCTTTATCAGCATTTTTGGATGGATGGATGGATGAATGAATTAATGTATGGATGAATGGATGAATAGATAAGCGCCGCGTCACTCACTTCTTGGCCTCCTCCTGCATCTGCTCCAGCTTCTTCTTCAGCGCCTCGTTCTCCTCCGTCACAGCGTTCAGCTGACTGTGATCGAACTGAAGAGACTGAAGAGGAAACAAACTCAGGCTCTCATACCGACCATCTTTTCACCCTTTGCACCTTCATTTTAACCCCTCACCCTTCGGTAGTTACGAACGAGAGGAACTGAACTGGGGATTCTTAAAACGGACCTTTAGGCTGGATTTACACTGTGAAACTGTCACGCAGCTTTAGTTACTTTAGAAACCTACATGAAACTAATCTGCACTCGATTTGCGTTATTTTTAGTGTCCTGCAACTCGTCTGATAACACGTCACAGGATCAGACGAATGACATCATTTCAGACCTCTGATTTCACCAGATTAATAGCCAAGACAAAAAAATAAAAGATGGTTTACTGGACAGATGAACAGAAGGTCCTGACTGACTCAAGGCTGCCAGCTTTTCATTCTGAGCCACAAAAACAAACGAATTTCTCAAAGTTAACATTTCTCTAAGCAGCTGCATTAACTAGCCAGCTAACGCTAACGCTAACAGCTGCTTAAACAGCTGCTCGCGCCAGCGTTTATTCTTTTTAGCTGCCATCATGATTTACGTAGCTGGACTCGTTTTCTGCTCTCTTGCTGGCGTCTTCTAATTATATATTAAAAAAAGTGCAGCTTCACTGAAGTGATTCAAAGCCTATTACATGTTATTAACAGGATAATAACAATAACAGGCTACAGTGACTGCAGCCTACAGGCTACAGGTCTGTGAAGGTGTCTGTACCTGCAGCTGTGTGTCCAGCTGATCTCTCTCCGTCTGTACGGTCTGTAGATGCTGCTCCAGGCTGCTCATCTGCTGCTGTACTCTCTGCACCTCCTGCAGGAGGCGCTGCTGCTCCTGCTCTCCGCTGGCCTTCTCTCCCTGCAGCTTCAGCACCTCCTCCTTCAGCTCCTTCACCTCTGCAGCCAGACGCTTCTTAGACGCCTTCAGCTCCGAGATCAGCTGCTCTTTGGAGCTGGCGTCACGCCTGTACGCCTCCACCATCACCTGCAGGGGGAGACAGAGAGCACAAATAACAGCAAAGTATTTACACGCACAATCATAAACTACAGTGGCTCAGCCAATCAGGCTTTAGAACCGTTTTAAAACTACAGCCAACAGCCATGAGAGGTGGGTGAGGCAGGTGTACATTATGAGACAGTCACATGACTACACGTCGGATAAGAAGCAGTTTGGATTCTGTTGTAGTGTGATAGGTAGTGGGAGGGGCTTCAGAGTGTGGGAGAGACTTAGAGCGAGTGGGTGTGGCCTGTTCAGGACAGAAAGAGTTTATAACAAGCTTGAGAACTGTGTTCTCTGGAGAGATGGAGCTCCAATACCTCTGAGAGGAGATGGAGTGATCCAGAACTGACCATCCACCATCATGCTCTCATGGCTGGATGTAATCAAATCCTCACAGCAGTGTTCTACCACAGGGGTCCCTAACTCTGGTCCTGGAGATTCACCTTCCTGTGGACTTTATTTTGACCCACAATCTGCCACAACTGCTCCAGAGTTATCTTCAGCAACAGTGGACAAGCTGGATCAGAAGCATTACTGTAGGGATATGGAGGGGGCAGCATGGGAGATGACCGTGTTGTGTTACATACCTTCTGCTGTGTGAACTGCTCCTTCAGTTTCTGCGCCTGTTTCTTCAAGGAGACGTTCTCCTGCTGTAAGGACTCAATCTAGAAGATGAAGGGAGAATAGAAAGTGAACAGTGGGTAGTTTGTCCATTTAAAAGGGTCAGGGTCACCTATGGCCGTGTTTATTCACTCCATTGTTTAACATATCGGTTCCTGCATTGGTGAACCAGACGTCCACCTCTGAAAGCTCCCTCACAGAGAGAGTCAGTACATGGTTATGAATACGCTGCCCGATTTCTGAGACACTGTTTTACGTCAGTTTTGAGAGGGTTTTGGTCTAAAATGTGATTTTAAAATCTATTCATGGTGGAGGGATACATGCAGGGTGCTCTGAGGCAAAATAGTCCCCAAAGAAAACTTAGTATTCAAGATTTTCCACTATTTTCCATCATCAACATTCCATATAAACTCAGAAGACTCGTGTATGTTCACTGGTGGTTTCAGATAATAAAATGGCTATTTTTGTGTTGTAGTCATGGCGACCCCTGGTTCCTATCACCACCACTGTAAAGACATCTGAGTCTGGACGTTTACATCTCAACCACTGAATTATGCAGAAATTTTGCTAAATTGGTGGAATTCCCCTTTGGAATTCCCCATAGTTCTCACTCTAAACTCAGGTTTTGAAATGTTAAGTGCTGCAGGGCTGGTTTCCCTGACCTGTATTATGCCTAGTGCTGGACTTCTCCATTCAGAATGCTGTGTGGTCCCAGGCTAGGCTTAATCTCTGTCCAGGAAACTGACCATGACCTTGCTCTGACTTATAAACAGCTCTGTCCACAATTTTTAATTTGGTTTTGAAGATTGTTTGGCATCAGATTTCAATGGTTTCTGAACAGGTTCTGTCCTTCAGACGGCACTGGGGATTCTCCAAGATAGAAATGTTAACGGATGCATGTTAAAACACTCCTCCCGCCTCCTCCACTCACCTGGGTGGCCTTCACCTGCACTTCCTGCCTGAGCTGGTCCAACGTATCCGCGGCCGCCAGCACGTCCTCCCCGAGCCGCTCCGCACCCTCGTCCAGCTGGCTCTTCTCGGCCCGCGCCGCCTGCAGCGCCACCTCCAGGACGATTTTCTCATTGCGCAGGAAGTGCAGCTCGTCGTCCCGCGCGGACGAGTCGGCCTGCAGCTCCTGCAGCTGCGCCTCCAGCTCGGCATACCGAGCCTCCAGCAGCTGCAGCGCCTGATCCTTACCCTGCAGGCTCTCCTGAGTGGCCGTCAGCTGCTTCATCAGCTCCACGTGCTCGCGCTGGAACGAGGCCAGCTGGGCGTCCTTCTGAGAGAGAGCCACCTTAACCTGCAGAGAGAGAGGAACACATTCACTCATCTGCAAATCACGGACAACTGGACATGCTAATGTACCAGCGCGGGCCACTTTATTGGAAACACCTACCTTGTGTTTCCACTCACTGGCCACTTTATTTGAAACACCCATCTTGTACTTCCACTGACTGGCCATTTTATTAGAAACACCTACCTTGTGCTTCCACTCACTGGCCACTTTATTAGAAACACCTTCCTTGTTCTTCCACTAACTGGCCACTTTATCAGAAACACTGCTGATCTGGGATCTAACTGGTCTTTGTGTTTGTGTACCTGGTCCAGCTCTCTCTCCAGTGCCGTAGCCGTGTTGGCCATTTTCAGCAGCTGCTCTCGCTCCTCCTCAAACTCCTCCAGTTTGTGCTGGAGATCTTCCTCCACCATCGACTTTGCGTCCTGTATCTGCTGGATCGCCGCTTCCTGCGTCAGCATGTCCGCCTGGAGTCACAGAGGGGGCGGAGTCAGAGCATCATCCAGGGCAGAGAGAGACACAACAGGTGAAACTTCAGTGAAAGGCCAAGTTAATGTAAGGTGCTGCTTTACTGGCTGAGTCGGGTGTTTAAGCAATCTAAGCCTGATCACCTGCAAAACGGGGCCTGACCGATGCTTTAATAGGCAGATAAAATAGTCAGATATTAAGATTCACCTGCTTTACCGGTATCGCCAGGCATGTGATAATGACATTATTGATTTATAAAGATTTGCTCTCTGAGAGATCAACACTGTGATGATCTGTTTACACTTGGCATTAAAGGGCCCTTTAATGTAGTGCTGCTCAGTCCATACAGTCCATATACGGAAACTAAGCTCATACATTCACTGATTTTGTTATGTCAAAAAAACAGCCTACAGCAGTTTCACTCCACACACTGAAGTTATAAGGAGTGTTTCAGGGTGCTTTTCGAATGAGGCACAGCCAATCAAAACAGAGCTCATTAACATTTTGCCCCTAGTAATGTAACGCTAGAGGTCAAACATTTTTGTTCCAAGCAGTTTTGGAGCATTTCTATGGGTGGCTGCCACATTCAAACGATTTAGAAAAGCAAAAAAAATAGAGATTTTTTTTCAAGAGACTTTTTTTTGGTTTTTTTGTTGTTTTTTGGACCATGACGACACATAAACCCTAAAGCCACAGTAACAAAAACAGCCTGTTTTATTGTAAGAGATAAAAAGAGTAAAATGGTCCAGTACAAATGAACTACGAGTGTAAGCAGACGGACCTCTATGCTCTGCAGCTGGACGGCGATCCGCTCCTTCTCTTTAATGGAGCGATGTTTAGTCTCAGAGAGCTGATGAGACAGAGTGACGTTCTCCATCTTCAGATTCTCCAGCACGCCGATCTGAGTCATCTGACCCGCCTGGGACAAGAAAACAAATAAACAAAAATAAAGGGCATAAATAAATACAGATTCACAGCCTCTCACACAGGCAATGCATACGAGTACCTACAGCAGCGGATTATCAGAGCTAAACTGAACACGACTGACATTAAAACCAGTTTCTCCTTCTATGCTGAGTGTTAATTGTATGAGGTGATCATTTCTGGTCTTTTACACCAGAGGCCTTCAATCCACTCCTCACTTTTACAGCATTTACAGGTCAGATAATATCTTTAAAACACAGATGACCTGATTACCACAGGTTTTGTAAGGAAAAACAACCAAAGATGCTAACAGAGTGGTTCAGAGTGGTTTGGTGTGAAACGCTCTGTTCTAGAGAAACTTACAGTCAGAACTGTTCACAGTGGTGGTGATAGGAACCAGACGTCCACCTCTAAAAGCTCCTCACAGAAAGATATAACATGAAATGGTTATGAATTCACTGCCTGATGACTGAGACACTGTTTTATGATAGTTTTGATAAGATTATAGTCTTAAAATCTATTCACGGTGGAGGGATACATGCAGGGTGTATTGAGGCAAAATAGTCCCCAAAGAAACTTATTATTTCAGATTTTCCACTATTTTTCCATCATCAACATTCCATATAAACTCAGAAGACTCGTGTAGGTTCACTGGTGGTTTTGGATAGTAAATAAAATGTCTATATTTGTGTTGTAGTCATGGCGACCCCTGGTTCCTATCACCACCACTGTAAAGACATCTGAACCATTTCACACCAAACCACTCAGAGTCACTCTGTTTACATCTCACACACTGAATTATGCAGAAATATGAACAACAGGCTTGAACTACAGTCTAATAACAGGTTTAATGCATGTAAACAATATGAATAATAAAAAAAAAAATCCATATTTGCGCTTCTGTCTACAACTAGTATATACCCAAAATATGACTATATTCTACTCTGCTGTATTTTTTCTCCCACCTCTGCTGCTTTGTGGATTTTATCTGCCAGTCAGGGATGAAAAAAATCATTTTAATTCAGTTATTTCAGCTGGTGGCCTAAAACGGACCTCAAAACCGAAACACTTTGAAGCGGCTTAAGCTAAAACAATTTAGTTAATTCATCACGTGAATTGATTTTCTACTTGGAACTGATCCAGAACGGCCAGTCGGCCTGCAGACAGGCTCTAAACTCTTATAAGGATTTTCTAACCTGCTCCAGGCCTGTTTCACTGGATCTGTATTAAACCCGATCCAGTGGTTCGGTACCGTCTCTACCCTTGTGGGCCTCCGTACCTGCATGTTGGCCATCTGAGTCTGCAGACGGACGCGCGCCTCCTGGGCGAGGGCCAGCTGCTGTTGGTACCAGCTGCGCAGCTGCTGCAGGGACTGCACCTCTGCCTGCGACGTCTGCAGACGGCTGTGGAGGGCGCTGCGCTCCGACTGGACCTGCTGCAGCTGGGCCTGCAGGCCGCTCAGCTGCTGACGCAGCTCACCCACTAAAACGGATGCACACAACAGACAGACAGACACACAGGAAATGAGCTCAGACAGTAACTACTGGAGTGCATCACTGTGAAAACTATTCTTTTCTGAAAACGTTCTTAAAGAGAATCAAACGTCCGCAAATTTCCTCCACTTTGCTCCAAATGTACATGATCTGCACTGGAGCTACGAGGCTAATGTAGCTAACGAGTAACGGAAGCTCATAGTGGCAGCAGACGGGGGTTCGATTCCCCGTCCGGGAAGCACTGCACACTATACCCATTAGAGTCCTTGGGAAAGACTCCTAACTCTACATGTGCCACATCTGTAACACGATCAAACTGTACGTCGCTCTGGATAAGTGTGTCTGACAAATACCGCAAATGTTAGTCACTCACAGTAAACAGTAGCGCTTGTTTCCTCTTAAAATGCTTTCACACTAGAATTAAAAGGTGGTTTGATTAGAGTTTGATCTACTTTATTCATGGACAAAGGCTGTGGCAATTCACTGTTGATATGAAAAATCTTGACCAGCACTGCCTGACCTTTGGATTATCCAAGTACCTCTTTGTATTATGAGATACAGCATATCAGACACAAACAAACTCAAAAGTCCACTTTAAAATGCACTGTAACGTCTTATTCTATGGGCGTCGCTATATTGAAGTGAGGACTCAAAGCTCTTGGGAGAGACTGACTCTCCAAGTAGGAATTATGAGTTGGAAATCTAAAACGTCCTGGTTATGACTGTTGCATTATGTAAACTCACTGGCTTTGTGCCAAATGTTTGTTCAAAAAAATGGTATATATGCTAATTGTTGGGGTATAAGCTTCCTCTAATTGTTAGCTACATTAGCCTCGTAGCTCCAGTGCTCAAACTAATGAAGATAAATATGTCCTGCCTGAGTAACTTCATTCGAAATAAAGGAGAAAATTCCGTTTACTAGATTCGCAAAATTACAGGTTTAAGGTTAACATAACTTGGAACTTATGTAATTTACCTGGACACACTTTGGAGATTTGGAGCTTTGGAGATATAAATGAGCACATTCAGCATTTTTTAAACTTTTTTTTTTTTTGAGGTTGCTTCAAAAGGAATATTACACCAAAAGTAATGCTAATGTGGCTAACAATCAATAAAAGTGAATTGGGTCCAGTTAGCATGATTTCATCCGCCTTTTGCTAACACGCCCATACTAGCTTCCATCCATCATTTTCACCACCAGCATGCTGGGGTGGAGTTTCCCTTCAAGCTCCTGACCTGTGTTGTCTTTGGAGGTCATGCTCTGCTGCATCTCCTCCACCCTTCCCATCAGCCTCTGGTACTGCTCCTCAGCGACCTGCAGGTCGTTGCCTAGCGACGTGAGGCTGGCATTCTTGTCCTCCAGCTGGGTCTGCAGGTCGGTCATAGCGCGCTCCAGCGTGGAGCAGTCGGCCCGTAGAGTGGACACCTCAGAGGCCAGAGCGCTCTGGCGCTCCACGCTGACCCGAGCCTCTTCAGTCTGAGCCTGCAGCTGAGCGTTGACCGCCGCTAACTGAGCCTGGAGCTCCGTCTTCTCCTTCAGAGCCTGCAGGGGGCAGCAAACAGGTTTTATTCTCCATATGTTATTATATATTTATTCTCTATATAACATCACTGCTGTGAAAAACTCATATCTCCACAATGATAACTTCATAAGACAAAACAAAAACGTTCATAACTTTGATTTTTATCTCACTAGTATGTAACTACTATGAATTACACAGCATCAACCATAAATTACTCAACATTCACTATGAATTATATGGTATCTACTATGAACAATTCAGAAACTACTACTAATTATTCAGTACCTTAAATGAATTATTCACTATAAATTACTTAATAACTATTATCAATTATTCAGCATTTACTCTGAATTATTCAGTATTTACTTTGAATTACTCAATAACTATTATATATTATTCAGTATTAACTGCTTTACTCAATAACTACTATGAATTATTCAGTATTCACTATTAATAACTCAGTAACTACTATGAATTATTCAGTATTTACTATAAATTACTCAGTAACAGCTATGAATAATAAAATTTCAGTGTACCTGATTGGCCTCTGAGGAGAGAGACTCCAGCTGCCCCTCCAGTCTCATTTTCTCCTTCAGCACCTGCAGCATCTCATCATGGGTTCCCATCACTGAGCTTCCATACGAGACACTAATGACCAACACAAACACCGTGAAACACTGAACTACACAAACACAGCACAGTTCAGATTCATCTACAATATAAGACCAGAATAAAAACATTCAGACCCACATTAAAAATGTTCTTTATTTTTACGCTGGAACTATGAGGCCAATGTAACGTAATGTACAGTACCTGCTGGAGAAGCTGTCTCTACGGCTGCGAGGCTCTGTTCCCTCCCTCTCCTGCTCCAACTCCATCAGCTGCTGCTGCTCCTCGCTGGCCGCCTGCAGGACGTCCCTCAGCGGGGGGAACTGACCCACCGCCTCCGCCGCCACCTCCCGGCCCTCCACCGTGTACGGCGCCGCCGTCCTGCTGGCCGCTAGCGCCAGCGCGCCGTACGGAGCGGAGGCGCTGCTGTAGGAGGAGCTGTCGCTGTCGTTTCCATCCACCTCTGACACGTTGTCCCGGATCGTCCGGGTCGACTCCAGAGGGGCGTCGGGTCCGGAGCTCACGCTGATTTCCGAAACCATGGAGACGGAGCTGACGGCGGACTGGACCGAGCCAAACGAGGTTTCAGCGGAAACGGAAACGCCAGTATTCGCCGTCTCCGAGGCTTTGCCGTCTGGTTCCGGTGTCCGGTAGTCCGCCAGAGAGTGGATCTTGTTGGACCTGGTCGATTTGGACTTCCTGTCTTTGGCGGGCGGGATTCCCCCCAGGCTGCCCAGTTTGGGCCCGCGGGGGACGCTGGTGCGCAGGAAGGAGTACTCCGTCGTCATGGCGACGGCATTGGCCCTCGGAAGACCCTCGGGGTGCAGCATGAGCTCTGGGTCCAGAGTGCTGAAGGGACGGGACTTCGCAGTCGAGCGATGAGACTACAGAGAGAGAGAGAGAGAGAGAGAGAGAGAGAGAGAGAGAGAGAGAGAAAAGAGAGAGAGAGATAGATAGAGAGAGAGAGATAGATAGAGAGAGAGAGAGAGACAGGAAGAGAGAGAGAGAGACAGGAAGAGAGAGAGAGAGACAGACAAAGAGGAAGCGAGGAGAGGAGAGAGAGAGAGGAAGCAAGAGAGATACAGAGAGAGAGACAGAGAGACAGAGGGGGGGAGAGAGAGAGAGAGAGAGAGAGAGAGAGAGAGAGAGAGAGAGAGAGACACTGCATTCATATCCTAGCAGAACACAATTTTACACTAAGTTTATTTTGAATTTATTAATTTAATAATAATTAACTTAATCAATTTTATATTTACGTTTATTTTAAAAGTGTCGTCGTAGTTTTCTTTTTTAGACACATCTCACCCAGTCTGAAGCGAGCTAACTAGCGAGCTTGCTAAGTACCTAGCTTGTAACCCACTAGCCAGAAAACTGCTAAGCTTGTAACTACCTAGCTAGCTTATTACTCGGCTTGTTATTAGCTTGTTAGCTTGTTCCTCAGGTTGTAACTCGCTGGGTAATTTATTACTCTGCTTATAATCAGTTAGCTCACTTCCTGGCTTGTAACAGGCTGTTTCTTTGTTTATAACTAGCTAACCAGCTGTTGAATTGCTTTGTAATTCAACATCTATTTAGCTAAAATATCTGGTGTTTTGCTAGTAGCTGGTTTCAGATGGTATAAGCTGGTCTTTGGTCAACTAGCTAAACCATCAAACTCAAACAAAAAGCTGTTTTGGTAGTTTTTTCTAACTGGCAACTCAGTGCATCCTCTGGTTTGTTACTAGCTAGCTAGTGTGTTATGAAGGTGTAACTAGTTTGCCAGCTACTTTATCAACGTGTTGGGCAGCAGGTTAGCCACCTTGTAAAGAGCTGGTTAATGATACAGGAAAAGTTCCCTCGATTCGGAATAACAACACTTCAGCTTGTATGTGGAGACGACCACAAAAGTAAATAAAAAAAATAATGAAAATAAATAATAAATGACTAAAACACCAGAGATGCTCCTGAATGCGCTTCACATCAATCAAAATCTGGGGCCTTGTTAAATATTCAAAGCTTTTCAGAGCGGAGACGGGCCGGGGGAGGATCATCTGAAAAGCTGCTTCAGAAATAACAAAAGCCAGCGTGACTGTCACTCAGTGACTCACACAATCCCTCCGTCAAGCTTTTACAGACACCCAAAAAAGGGTGACAGTGAGTCAAAATGGACTTATAAAATGCTACAATGGAATAAACTCCAGTAAGAGAACTGTTATCTAGATCTCATTTACCTCAAAGTATCTGCTCCCTAAGACCTTCCACTCTTTAAACTGCGGAATAACGTCTGTCTGAAGAGCGTCAGATTCCTGATTCTGTTCCCTTGATGATAACTGATGTTCATAAGCTTCCGTTACTTGTTGAGCTACATTAGTCTCGTAGTTTGGGTACAAAGCTATAAAGAAGCAAACTTCAGATACCAAACGTGTCTCTGATGCTGATGAACTACATCAAACAGGGAAATGGTTTAAGTCAGACTTCTATAGCTTTAAAATCAGTAGTAGTGTTTTATCTCCTGACTCACCCTCTCCTTGTGTCTCTGGACGCGGTACTGCTTGAGCTGCTCCTCCAGACGCCGGCGCGCCTCCAAACGGATCTTCTCCTCGTTCTCCATCTCCAGAGACGGTTCGCTCGCTGCTAGGAGAAACGCACACACCCTCAGCGCCGAGTCCACAGTCTTCTCCATCAGCACAGGCACAGCAGAGACATCGTCAATCAAGCCGTCAGCGTCCCGTCACTGTCTGGCTTCCCAACAACGACTAGATCAGAAAGCTAGACGGGCAGAGACGCCGTCGCTCTCAGACAGCCTGTTTGACGATGCCTCAGCTCTGCTTACTGATAAATCTGCATGCAGAACAGTCCAGACTCGACAGTAGCTGTGAGTCCCGAGTCACGTGATTAACGTTAGGAAAGAGTCAAACTCGTTACGCAACGATTCAAACGGTCTGACTCAGTTAGTCAGGATTAGTGCAGCACATTCAGCCAAACGTCTGTGGACCTGAACGCAGCCAAGAGCGGAAAAATTAGTCAGCAGGTCCCACAAAACAGTGATTCAACTCAACAGGTCAATTCTGAACTCAGTAAAGGAAGAGTTCGGCCAAAAATCCGGTTTACACAGCATCTTCCTCCCAAAACGGCGTCTGAGGTCTGCTCCTTTAGTGCCAGCAGTGGAGCTACAAGGCTAACGTAGCTAACAAGTAATGAAAACGTATGTAAACAGATTAGCATCACGCTAACTGTTTGCCCAGTCATCACACACTTCTCTCAAACTGTGTGGAGGTGTTCAGTGTCTCTAATAGACTTGATTATGTGGTTTCTGACACACTGTTATCTATAAACATGGACGAAAGTAAGTTAGCGTGATGCTAATCTGTTTACATACGTTTTCATTACTTGTTAGCTAAGTTAGCAACAGGCTAACTGCTTGCGAAATCATCACAAACTTCTCTCAAACTGTGTGAAGTGTTTATTAATCTCTAACAGACTTGATTATGTGGTTTCTGACACACTGTTATCTATAAACATGGACTAAAGTAAGTTAGCATGAAGCTAACCTGTTTACATACGTTTTTATTACTTATTAGCTAAGTTAGCTTCTCTCAAACTGTGTGAAGTGTTTATTAATCTCTAACAGACTTGATTATGTGGTTTCTGACGCACTGTTATCTATAAACATGGACTAAAGTAAGTTAGCATAGCTAAAAACAATAGCAACCACCTGGAATTGGGAATTTTGAAAAAAAGAAATCAGTATCAGCCGCAAACATTCAGGATCGCTGCTCGTCTAGAGGACAGAACCACATAAACAAGACTATTAGAGATTAAACACAAGCTTCCTGTTACCTGTTAGCCTCTCAGCTCCAGCTCTAAAATAAAGAACCAAACTCACGACGCCGAGTGTGTCTCGGCTTTCCCACAACATATGAGGTAAAGGAGTGATTTTCTGCCAAACTATTCCTTTAAATAAAGACACCGATTACAGGTGTGTGACAGAAATCCAGCCACGTTCATTCAAACTGCTTCCCAAAGCAAAAACACACAACCCACAAACCAGACAGACGTCTCTCTGACCAGAGAGGTTAAAGCGGAGGACGGCAGCACTCCTGCTAGAACCTCTTAACCTCAGGAGCTCAGGCACAATCAGAGAGTTCTAGAGCAGGAGATCAAATCACGGAAACCGGCCAGACGAGTCAAACTCGGGGTTAAAGCGACAGTTTGGTGGAAAATCAAATTTACAGTTTAGCCTCTGACCTGAAATGTAGCTGATCAGTCGAGACATGTTTGGCGTCTGTTCGCTTCTTTAGGTTTAGCGCTGTAGCTATGAGGCTACTGTAGATTACGAGTAAAGGAAGCTTTTCCCCACCGATTAGCATCGCAGGCCTAAACCATCACTCACTCGCCTTAAAGAGTGTGGAGGTGTTTAAGGGGGAAATCTGGCTAAAATAAAAAAAAAAAACGTAACCATGGTTACTTCTTATGTAAACACGTCTACTTACATCGAACAGTGGTGCTGCGATACGTCTCAGAGCGAAATATTCTGGTTTAAAAACTAGGAAACCCCCCTTCTGATGATGCATCTTGAAGGTGGGAAGGTTGAAAACCTACAATGTGTTTTTTCTCCTGCAAAAGAAGCTACACAGCTAAAGCTACTGCTGGGAAGCTGAATGCCTCATCGATATTTATTAGCCTATAGCAGCTCTACGAGTCGCATTATCCGATGGCGTTTTAGGGCCACCGTTAAAAAAATTTAAATAATAGACTTAGAGAAGTCGTAATATTTTGAGATTAAAGCTGTATTTTTTAGAATAAAATCTTAATATTTAGAGAATAAAGTTGTAATTTAATATACTGCAACTTTTCATGGTATTAATGCCACTTTAATGTCATAATTCTATGACTTTATTCTCGAAATATTTTGCAGTGCGACTTCCTGTCTCGAAGTCTACTTTTTACATTTTTCCCAATATTGGTATGACGTATTTGTGAAAAGCATGCTGGGTATGGTAGTGAGAGAACACTAAGGGGAGAAAACACAAACTGATGAGTGTGGACAGTATTGACCAGTTAGCTACTTATTAGCCTCGCAGCTCCAGTGCAAAGAAGCAAACGTCAGACACCAAACCTGTCTGGGCTGAAGGACCACATTTGGGGCAGGAGGGAAAACTGAAATTTTTGCTGAACTGTTCGTCTGAAGACAGGCAGGGTGAGGGTTGGTGGGGTGACTGGGGCGGTACGGGCGGGTCAGGGTGGGGGGGTTACTCAATGTCGTGTGCTTACACAATTCGGTCTCCTGCATTGGAATACTTAGTCTGAGTGACTGCAATGCGTCGCTCTTGTGAGCGGAGCCGTCTGGCTTCTCTAGGCTGTGAGGGAAAGAGGCCACACCTGGGTCGGGCCGGGCGCTGGTGGGGGGCCGTGCAGGGTCTCCTGCGGCTCCCGGAGGCTCCGACGCCTCGCCGTTCTCCAGCGGCTCTGCTCGGACATGACCTGCGGGAGAAATGGACACATTACATCAGCATAAGATAGAAAAATTATTTAGTCCAGGGCCCAGAGATAGAGTGGGCCCAAAAAAGTAGTTAGCCATTTGGCCCAAAGATAGAGTTAGCCTAAAACTGAGCTAGCCCACACAAACAGAATGAGTGCATAAACTGATGAGTGTGGACAATATTGACAAGTTAGCTATTTATTAGCCTTGTAGCTCCCGTGCAAAGAAGCAAACTTCAAACACCAAACATGTTAGCCCAAAACAGAGTTAGTCCAGGGGCCTAAAGACAGAGTTAGCCCAAAACAGATTTAGTCCAAGGGCCCGAAGAAAGAGTTAACCCAAAACACACTTAGTGCAGGGGCCCGAAGAAAGAGTTAACCCAAAACACAGTTAGTCCAGGGGCCCAAAGATAAAGCTAGCCCAAAAGAGAATTAGTCCAGGGACCTAAAGACAGAGTTAGGCCAAAACAGGGTTTCAGGGGCCCAAATGTAGAGTAAGCCTAAAAAAGTAGTTAGCTTCCTGGACCTAAAATAGATTAGACCAAAATTAAGCTAATCCATGGCCCAAAGATATAGTTAGCCATGAAAGTAGTTAGTCCAGTGGCCCAAAGATGTTTACCCAAAACAGATTCAAACCAGAGACCTGAAGATTGAATTAGCCCAAAACAAAGTTAGTCCAGGAGCCCAAAAATAAAGTTAGCCTAAAAATAGTTAGTTCAGTGGCCTGAAAAACAGATTAGCCCAAAACAAAGTCAGCTTGGGCCCAAAACACATTTAGTCAACGAGCTCAAAATTGGTCCAGTAGCTCTAAGATGGAGTTAGCCCAGACAGGAGTTAGACGAGGGGCCTGAAAATGGAGTCATCCCAAAAACAGAGCTAGCGCCGGGACATGAAGATAGCATTATCATAAATCAGAGATAGTCCAGCTCAAGGACACAGTTATACCAAAACAGAGTCAGCCCAGCGGCCTGAACACAGAGTTAGCAGAAAACAGTTAGACCAGGGTCCCCAGTATAGACTTAGAACAGCATTAGTCCAGGAGCTCCAGGGCCAAGAATGCTATAATAAGGCTAACATTAGATTAAGTAAAGAGCAAACGGAGCTCAGCTGGACTAGCGCACTTCTGTCTGATCCTAATCGTCTATCTCACTGCTTTGATCTTCTCCTCACAGTTCATGTGTAACTGAAGTTGTGTAACAGTCCACAGCTGTGAAAACACTCTGCCCTGAGTCTACAGAGCTAAGCAGTGTTCGCTCAAATACACTGTTACTGTTATTAACACTGTTATTACTATCATCCCCTTCACTATTATAAGGTAATAGTGTAATAGTGGTGAGCCTGACTGAAAGCTCATGCACTGGCAGGCTTTGTTTGCTGTTTGATGTCAGTGGCAACCTAAAACACTGTAATGTGGAATTTTACTCTCACTAAACTTTTCGTTTCTGTCTTGACAAACAAGTCAAACAGCCTGATCAGGTAAAAATGACAGTACAGAGGAAGGAGGGAAGTTAAGGCTGAGTAGCAGAAACAATCCAGCGTTTCACTCTGAGCTGATGTTTACGGTGACTGTCCTAACACGGAGAGTAAACAGAGGGCAGGACTCGTGACCTGCTGGACATTCATGCATACCGTATTTGCGCTGTAAGACAGTGCGGAGCATCTGTACAGGAAACAGTGGTCATTTATGCAATAACTTAACTGCTTAGCTGCACAGACGTCCACTAAACCCTAACTTATGCTTGGTTAAAGAGCCCAACTAGTTATTGTGGGTTATTTAATAAAACCATAACTCATTAAACAACGCGTTCCATTTGTTTACCCTCGGCGGTTTACTGATTTCAACTGTTTCCATCATTTCAAGCCAACAGATCTACCAGAAAATGTGTACGTAGCATGAAATGTTTAACTAGCATTCTGATAATGAAGTAGTTGATTTAATTTCATGAAAAGTCTGAATTAATTTGAAAATATACAAAACAAAATTATGAATAATTCAGTATCTACTATGATGAATTATTCAGTTTCTATCACAAACGACTCAGTATTAGCTATGAATTATCGTATCTACTACAATGAATTATTCAGTAACTACTACAAATTACTCAGTAACTACTAAAAATAATTCAGGAATTACTATAAATTATTCAGCGTCAACCACAAATTATTCAGCATGTATAACAAAATATTCATCATCTACTATGCATTACTTAGTAATTACTATAAATTAGTTATTATTTACTACAAAATATGTAATACCTACTATGAATTATTCAGCATCTACTACGTATTACTCAGTAACTACAACGACATATTCAGTACCTACAATGAATTATTCAGTATTTACTATAAATTGAATAGCTCCCTCTATAAATGACACTATTCAAACCAGATACAGTTAATAAGCTTAAAAGCAGTTTAGGCTTTTTTAATAATCCTCTGAAGGCAAATCTGAATCATATTCCGGTGGTCACTCACCATTGGGAATTTTCTCAGCGGCGGGTGAGTTTTCCGGCTCTCCAGGTTTGTGGGAGCCTACTGCGTTTAGGGCGGGGTCTTCAGTGGGTGGGGCCGGCTGAGGGGCCACGCTGGTTTCTGCTTTTCCATCCTCCATCTTTGAGTGAACTTATATGATGCCACACCGGCATCCATGGACAGAGGCAGGACTCTCGGGGTGGACGTTTCTCACCGCATGGCCGGCGGGGTTTAGATCCTGAAGTTACGATGAAACCTGGGAAATAAATGAAATAAATTATATGCAACACTTTCTTTGATTAAACTGTGCAAAGACTCACCTACACATAATTTAAAAAGTAAAAATGAGCAGAAAAAAATAGATATTTTAAAAAATACTTCTTTGAAAAAATAATAATGACATAAGATCAGAGTGAAAAGGATAAAAAAATGAGGGTAAAGCCCACCTAAAACTCACACTGTCAGAGCTTAAACCATAATAATTACAGATTGAGTTGAAGAAACTTAAAAAGCCCACAGAAAAGTAGCCTGGTCACTATTTCTCCAGTTCCAATCAGTCAAGACAGTCGTGTATCAGCCTGTCAGTAAGAATATGAACCTATAAAATCTCTAACACTTCTCAGCTCCACTGTGAAGGAGCAGAGGAGGCTCAGCGCATGAAGACTAAGCAGGAAAGACCAGCTAAAGCCGCAGCCTAACTACAGAAAGCCTGGGGCTGAAATAAGACCTCGGTCCAGGACAGCTGACCTAAACGAGCCCGGATGCTCGAGGAGACGATATCAGTCCCGAATAAGCGTTTAAAACACATTTAACCTTTAATGTCATGAGACACGGGAACAGCGCTCAGCTCCTCAGAACGATCCGCTCCACCTTAAACGGCGCAGCAGGCACTCTGGCGCCTCAGGCGTTACAATAACATCTGCTGCGCCGTTTAAGGTGGACTGGAAAATTCGCCTCCGGAGCGAGAGAGTAAGAGCCCGAGCACGGTTAGCATTAGCCTCCCTCACAGCTCGGCACCCCGACCCCACCGACACTCGGCCCAACTGCCCGCCGCACAGCGGCCAGAGCGCCGAGAGCAGCGGAGAAAAGCCGCCCAGCGCGTTTAAAGAGGCAAAAAACCAGCGCGGTAAAAAGGCCGAACCTGAAAATCTGCGCCGCAGCTACGTGGCTGTTTAGATCCCGGGACTTCAGCAGTCCGGCCGGAAACATCGGCCAGCGAAACCCGCACAACAAAGGTTCCGCCTACAGCAGGACGCTCACATCATTTAAATTACACGGTAAATCTAAATATACAAAAATATAAACATAACTTACAGAAATATATCTGAAATATGTTGACATTCACTGAGAAAAGATACTAAGGAATATATATATATATTAGTTTTAAACTATTTATTTACAAAAGAATGCAAAAAATATGGGAGGAAAAGAAATATTTAAATACAATTTAAATAAATATTTAAATAAGATATGAATATGTATATCCATACGCAATGAAATATATGATATGAAATATACTTTCCACCACTTTTTTAAACTGTATATTTCTGTATATTGTTACATTTATACTATTATTCCTTTACTTTTACATTTATTTTTAATAAAAAATTGGAAACAATTGAAAAAATTAGTGTAAAATAAATCTTTAAATGTATAGTGTATAAAATTCTTTAAATTCCTCATTTTTAAACATCTATTAAATGAAATAAATTTAATAATAATAGGTATTGTATACATTTGAAAATATAAGTATATGAATAAATACATTCAACTGTTCTACTGTTGGATATATATGTTATATTTCCTCATTTAAGTGTAAAAGTGTATTGAAAGTTTGATTTAATTCTTCCACAACTGCATCAACAGACCCAGTAACAGCCATCTTTAATGGGGAGTTCTGGCCTAAAACTAATATTTAATGTTATTTGTTATGTACTATTTCATTCATCGGCCTCATCAGTTTAACAGAATTCATAATATTATACTGTATATTATTTTCATGTTTTCATCTATCAGTGTTCTCACTACACTACCCAGCATGCATTGTGCAAAAACATCACAAGATGGAAATAATCACACTTGTAGTGTTTCTGAATTCACTGCCACCTTCAAATTACATCACCAGAAGGGGGCTTTCCAAGCCTTTAGATGAAGCAACGTTTACATTTTAATTTCAGCTTTAATTAAAGAGCTAACAAAGCCATTAAAAAGCACTGATTTCTAGCTTTGCGTTTATTTCAGTGATCACTGCTGCTGAACTGTTGAGTTCTAGATATTTAGAGCGTCCACAGTCAGACTCTAATACAGCAGTGTAACTCCAACACTGTGATCCAGGCGTGTTTAGAGACCAGTGAGCGGACATGGTTGAAGGATAAATCATTGGTTTTTAATTTTGGTTTCTTCACAACCCTCAAACACAGCGTGCCAAACATCATCACTATAAAATATGAGATTTCTTCAAGTCAGTCATCAGAAAGCCGACGTTAAGACAACGTGCCTGATTTTCATACCAAAAGAGCCCAGAAGAGCCGGGAATGCAAGAGGACAAACTATTCACCCAGAAGATTTATTCAAAATAAAAAGACAAACGTTCATATTCCCAATGTTAGAAACGTTGAGCAACAACTCAGTTAAAAAGAAAAAAAAAACAATAATAATAAGCGTACCCTCCTGAGCCCACTTCCTGTAATCACCACCCCTCAAACTTCAGCGCAAAATCCCTTCTGCATGGAAGCCCTTTGGCACCATGTGCAGGAGAAGAGAGTGGAGGAACAAAACGTTCTGTTTCTGGCAGCTGTAGAAGAAGATCTTTATTTTTCTTAATTTATTTTGATTTATTTTGGGATAGGTTCCAGCACCCCACCGCGACCCAGAAGGATAAGCGGTTTAGATGATGTATGTATGTATGTATTTTGACTTACAAGGTCAAAATAAAGACATTTCCTCAAAATTCAAAGTGAAAATTTTAAAATAATGACTTCTCCAAATTTGGACTTGTGAAAAAATAATTACTTTTCTCAAAATAATCAACTTACTATGTCAAAATACTGACTTAGACTCCCAAAATCATTCAGCACCTTCTTGAAATCTAATAACTCAATTTTGGCACAGTCAATCGGAAATTCACTATTTTGGCAAAGTAATAATTTAAATTTTACATCTTTTTTTGTTTTAAAGAGAATCAAAACTTACTTTAAGATCCAAAGCGAATATTTTGAGAAAAATCAGTCATTATTTTGATAGTAATTCAAAATTTTAAGAAGAGTAATTATTAAAGATTCTAAGTGAATATTTAGAGAAAATAAGTCAACACTTTGAAACACTACTTATTTTGGCATGCTGCCAGAAAGAGAAGTGGGCGGTTCCTAATTTTTTCTCCTCTACCTGGCAGGAAAGGGCTTCAACACTTTTGCACCTCAAAATTTAAAAAGAAAAAGAAAAAAAGAAACCCTGTCCAACTGTCCAGTGGAATGACCAGAGTTTTATTATCGACTGGATTTCTGATACAACCGCGAAGCACAGCCTGACTTTCAGGCCCAGAAAGCTGAACGCTTCCTTTAGTATTTGTGGAATTGAGCACAAGACTCTCAGAGAAGAACCTCGAGTGAACTGTATCTTTATTTTCTTGATTTCTTTTGAAGCAGACAAGCAGCCAGGCCTCGGTTTAGTTTCATTTATTTATTTTATGAGTTTCTTCAATGGCTGGTCGACGAGCAGATGCACTTTCACCCCTCCAAGATCTTTCACTCCACTCAAAACTAGTCCTAAAACCTTTTTTAACCCACCGCCTGTCGGCCACGATCCACAGACGACTGACAGAAAACCTGCTAAAACACGCTTATAACAGAAGGCAATGTGCAGCAACTGCTTACTGTCCTCTATTAGAAGTGTGTTTAGAGTCTGTGGGTTTTCTGTTCGTTTACTAAGTGCAGGGAAACTCACCGTGACCAAGTGCTGTGGACGCGGCCGACAGAGGTCACGTTAAAAAAGGCTCTAAACCCAAAAATCTGACACCATCCCCACCGCTTAGTCAAAGATTCGCTACAAAACCCGCTCACGCCCCACTCACTCATTCTGCTTCCTCATCCCATTAACAGTGTTCACCCACACGCTGGATTTCACGCTGCTACCTTAGAGTACAAAACAAAAAAAATGGAAAAAACAAAAAGTTCCCCAATGTGGGAATCGATCAATAGCACAAGCCTCGTCTTACAGCACGGTCATGGTGATACGTGGGGTTTCAGAAAGTGGCCAGAACAGACAGGAGAACCCACAGAGGAGCGGGAAGAGAGGTGCGTCGGTGTGGAAGGGGGAACAACCACGCAACATTTCGATGATTGAGAAACGGACACTTTAAAGAGGCATCAAGGTCTTGTGATGTCGGGAGGAAAACAAATAAAAATAAGTAACAAAAAACAAACCAAAAAAAAAAAGTGTCCAAATTTTATAGAGTCTATTGTAGAAAAGGGAGAAGTGTTGCAGGTCAAAGAGAGAGATAGAGAGAGAGAGAAGCGCCATCGCTGGGCTCATTTCTCCTCTTTTTTCTCCTCCTCGGAGCTCTTCGTCTTCTCGTCCTTTACGGAAAGCTCCTCCAGTTTCTCCGCCACTTTGTTTGCGCTGTCGGCGCTGCCTGTTAAACACACACATTCAGAGTCGATTAGTATCTTTAATAGACCTTATTATGTGGTTTATTATCACACTGTATGACTCACCGGCCACAAAAAGTGGATGAATATGTTGCACAGATAAAAACTGTAGCAGAAGCCACACTGATGTCTGAATGTTGTGCACGTTTGGCCACGTTTACAGAGAACCGTTTGATTCCCACTGTTTTCTTTGAGACTCAGCGCTAACAGATATAGCAGAACACACTGGAGTCGGTCTACAGAAAGACAGACGGGCGTGGAGCGCTCTGCAGGATGCTCTAGCAGACAGAAAAAGTTTCAAGGCCGGAGGAGACGGCCCGAAACAGAGTGAGTCTGCAGAACAGCAGCAGCAGCAGCGGGAGAAAACGTACCTTCCAGAAATTTCCGCACTTCCTCTTTGCATTCGTCAAACTTCGCCTTGAACTTCTGTGCATCTGCAGAACGTAGAAAACACCAGAGTTACCAACCCAAAAAACCCAAATGACAAAAACTGAAGCGGTACTTACGCCGCCATGCTTCGCCTGTTAAAGAGGGAAACCTTTAGCCTTAAACAGGTTTTAGCTCTTTGTAGTTAACATGTCGCACCAATTGAACACTGTGGAATTACTCACTTTCCTTGATTTCTGACAGCCATACAGTTGATAAATATCATTCACTGCTCACTCTCCAGCCCATACAGTCAATAAATGGAAACGAAGCTGCAAAAATAGCTTGCTTTGACTTTGTTTTTGCGATGTCAAAAAATGTGTTTACATCTCCACCTTTTCAGCCGACAGCACTTTAGCTCCGCTCATTCACACTGAAGTTATAAAGAGTGTGTAAGCTCTGACTGCTTTTTCAATGAGGGGCAACATAGGACAGCCAATCAGAACAGAGATCATTTACATATATCAGTCTTAAAGGACAAAGAGAGGTTGGAAACTGGTCATGTACAAGGGAATTACGGCTGCTCTGGCACATAAAACTACTCAAATGCCATAAATGGACCTGAAAACAAAAGAAAATCTGGGATAAAAGCCACTCCGGGCCGTTCTGTGACTCACTCTCGGCGTTGAGGAAGCGGATGGCCAGCAGCTCCGGTTTGGGTTCCTCGTCTGCGAAGTCAGCGTGTGTGTTCCACACCCAGGCTCTATCACTGCCCGCGTTCGGCTTCAGCTCCATCAGCGGCATGACTGCACGCAGAGTTACATCAGTTCTGTGATTAGAACTAACATTTTTACGTTATAGCGAGTTTAACAGGGCACTAGTTAGCCGGTACTCACTGTGGTGGTTGGCACAGATCTTTAGTGTGCGGTCTCTCCTCATTAGGAGCCGGATGGAGCCTTTCTCTTTGTGCCGCAGCAGTTTGACGTCGCCCGTGCCGCGCTCCTTCCACTCCGGCGGGTCGTTCTCGCTCGCAAACCGGTACAGCTTCGCCCGCCTAAATGGGAAACATCATCAAATCATTGTCTTACTTTAGCATGAGGCAGCTTAAAGTGTGCAGGAGCACCACAGAGAGCCCTGTCAGTTTCTCAGTCCAGTCCTCAGAGCCCCCCGTCCAGACAATTGTATGTTTGCTTTAACCTAGTCTGCTGGATTTGGGGTTGAGCAAACACATGGAACCATCTGGACGGTCTCAAGGATTGAACTTCTTAGTTTCCAAAATAGCAGTTGTTCTTCATGCTGTCTTTGGTGCCCACCAGACATTGTGTTATAACCAAGCTCCCAGCACACCTGCACCTGCTAACCAGGTGCTCTTAATGGCTTGGTTCTTGCTTGGAAAGCTTGGTACGCTGGGAGCTGGACAAAAATGTGATCTGTGGAGACCATCCATGAAGACTGGACTGAGACCCACTGACTAGAGGCAGACAGAAGAGAAGGAACTTGGAAAAGCTGCTTTAAAGACCTGAACAAGTGACAAGGAGATGGTAAAGCTGAATCTATGTCACTGCTCGGCACAAGACAACGAAATGCAGTTAGCATCTACCAGAAGGGCAAATATCAGCAATAGTGCAAATGTGCAATAACAGGCATAAATAACATCTATATGAAATATAACTATATAAACAATATATACACAATAACAAATGTAATGTTGTCCAAACAGGGCTGCACAATGAACCATTTCACCAGGCAAAGAGTTCTTTGAATGTCCATGGTTCTATACTGTACCATTTTCTTTACTAAAGAACCCTTGAAGAACCATTTTAAAGTGTGTAGTTCACTGTAGCAGATCATAATTTAGCTGGTAATCCCCCTGATTGTCCCCCCAAAAATGGCTTAGATGAATTAACTTCAGGGCCAGTTACTCTAGAACAGCCGTGACTGAACAGTCTCCTTGTGGAGAACCGTCTATGTACAGGAGTTTAGCTCCAACCCTAATCTGACACACCTGATCCAATTAATCATCGTCAGGAGGCCTTGATTAGCTGGATCAGTTTGTTTTTTTTTAACAACGCTGCAGGAAGAGCAGAGCTGGTGTCCACTGAGCTCATATCACTGATATCGGTCATCATTTGACCTCAATTCTCTCGCATTTTAAAGGGTCAATATTATAAATATTTTAGTTTTTTCACCCCATTTTTGTGGTTTTGTGTATCAAAAACAGTCACAATTTAGTTTAACATGGCCATTTTTCCGACCTCTCTATATCTCTGACAATTAAACATGCTGTTTTTGACAGATGAGCTGTTCTGAGACGCATTTCCTGAAAGCATCGCTGAACAACCACCACATTAGAGAGAGTGTTCAAAATGATAGTCTCTCTATCATTTAACTAGGGCAGCTGTTCAACAACACTTGCAGGAAACACACCCCAGACAGTCTGTGCCTCATTCAAACAGCAGTCGGCACTGAAACACTGCTTATAACCTCAGCGTGAGTGGGCGGGGCTAATCAGGCACATAAGCACGTGTTTTTGTTTTCAAGACATCAGAAAAACAGCAGGTTCAAAACGAGCTGCTTTTGCAGCTTCGTTTCCATATATGGGCTTTCAGGGATGGTTAGAGCTCATTTGCATCTCAGCACCAGTGCTGGTACAGAGTAAGCGGCATGTTGTTCAACGTTAGAGTGGACTCACATTTTGAACAGCTCCTCTTCATCTTCCTCCAGAGTTTTGACCTCGCGCTCAGGCAGCGACACGATGGGCTCAAAGTGGGGGTCGTGGTTTGAGTCGTCTACGTTATCTGTGGACGTCTCGTGATCATCTTGTGCATCCTTCGCCCAGAAAGAGGGGAAAAAACAAATGCATTTGAGTGTTAATGGCCTTCCAAAGCCAGTTTATACCGACTATTACATTATGATGTTTCAACAAAAATCAACCAACCAAAATGAGAGGCCAGCAGTTTAAGTGCATAACAATACAAATGCTGTCAATTTTAAAAAATAAATAAATAACCAAAATAAATGATAACAGCACACATAAATGTAAAACAGTATGGCCGATACGCCCCCCAGTCTGCGTGCAGCCTATCAGGGCAAAGTGGGCGGGGCAGGGGTGTGGCTTATGCTGTGGACACACACACTCAAATGACTGGGCTTTTTTCCCCCCTAAAGAGTGTATAAATTGAGGAGGTCGTGATTTGAGTTTATTTTATTAGACGGCGACGCAGCAGATGCTAATAAACTTCTACTGGAAAGCCTTTATTTGTGAAGTCCTGCGTTTCTGGAGGATTTTTGAAAGTTTTTTTCTTCTGCGTTTTGGCCTCCTGTCTACTCCAGAGTCGAGATTACTGCTCAAGCCTGTAGCTTTCACTTACTAAACATGCAGAACTCTGAAATAAGGTCAGCCTGGTTTCTGTTCTGGGTTTGCTTCTGTGTGCTCAGCAGTTTGGGCTGAACCGGCGGTGAAGACAAATTAACTTAGTTTTACTTTTAATTAAGCCGCACTGCACTCAGCTCTTTTAGAACAGGATAACCACTGGATCTCATATCAAAACACCTCCATTATTCTAATGTTAAATGTACGTGACTATTATTGACCAAAATCAGATCTGGGGAAATAAAAAACCCAACTCCATAATTCAAATGGGCTGAAAAGCTGTTTGACCAGGACTGTGAGGACGTTTTAGAGACGCTGGCGTAGCTGTGGTAACGCAAACACACCCACAGCAGGCGGTGGGCTTCCTTTAGCCTTTGAGCTTTTATTTTCTGGCACAAATCGGACTGAACCTGTGTCAAATACTGAACTATGGAGGTCCGATGGCCTGCAAGTCAAAGCCTAGTGTGTTTGTAACACTGCTGTCAATCTTAAATCTCTGCTTCACACTATTTTGCGTGATGTGCTCACAATGTTCTTCACGAGGCATTTCACATCAAATTTTATGAGGTATTAATCGCCCCCTACTGGCTGGAACGTTCACACAAACGTTGAGTCATTTTTGTGTTCTCATGTGAGCAAAGATTTTTCTGAAAATAATGCTGGTGTAGACGAAGACTTTTTTTGAAAATGGAGAAAAATAAAAATAAAAATAAATAAATAAATAAAGACTAACCTGTAGAATGTAGTTAGAACTCTGCTGAACCCATATACCATCTCAAATCAAACTGAAAGCTCAGAGTCGACAGTCATATCAAAACTGAAAATGTGTATCGTTACACTTCCACATTTAACAGAATCATAAGGTTTAGTTTTCTATGAGCGCTCCTACGCGTCCGTACCGGCCCCGGGGGGCCCTCGTCTCCGTGGCCGCTCAGTAGTAGCTCAGAATGAAAGGCGGGGGGATTTAAAGAGCTCACTCTCTAGCTCTCCTTTTGTCTCCGATTTGAACCACGAGGCTGAACTGTGCTGACGCTCTGAGCAGCGGAAGGATCCGGGTTTAACGGGGGCGTCGCTGCGCCCCACCGACTGTTAGAGGCCCACATTTGATGTCAACAATAACAGAATCTCTGTTTAATCACACATGAATTCTTTGTGCCAGAACAGACTCACAAACTCTCCCAAAACTTCCAGATTAAGGCTGAGACTGAAAAGATTCATCAGTGATGAACACTGGCATTACAGTTCAGTGACGTATTCAGAGTGGTTTGATGCGGTTCTAGAGAAACTTACAGAGTCAGAACTATTCACAGTGGTGGTGATAGGAACCAGACGGCCACCTCTAAAAGCTCCCTCACAGAAAGTTTCTACATGAAATGGTTATGAATTCACTGCCTGATGACTGAGACACTGTTTTATTATTGTTCTGAGAAGGTTTTGGCCTTAAAACCCATTCATGGTGGTGGAGGGATACATGCAGGGTTGTTCTGAGGCAAAACAGTCCCCAAAGAAAAATTATTATTTCAGATTTATCACCATTTTCCCATCATCATCCACATAAACTCAGAAGACTCGTGTAGGTTCACTGGTGGTTTTGGAAAATAAATAAAATGTCTATATTTGTGTTGTAGTCATGGCGACCCCTGGTTCCTATCACCACCACTGTAAAGACATCTGAACCATTTCACACCAAACCACTCAAACCATTTAAATATGCATAAATTCTGGTTCCAACAAAATATGTTGAATCCCATTTTAAGAAGGTCTAAGTATGCCTGCCATCTTTCCATCAACACAGAGGTTAACCAGGTTAAAGTACACTCCTTAAAACTTCCCCCAAACTTTGTTCCTTTTTCCCCAGATTAACTAAAGCTGGAGTAGACAGTGGATTTTCTGTGGGTAGTGCAAGTTTAGTCCAAGACAAGATCCAACTGGCCCTAAAAAGTCTAGTCCCAGTGTGAAAACATGGATTTTTGCCAGGGATGCCTCATGGATAGACATGACTCAGTCCAGGGCTTAGTCTAAACCCAAAGGAGTCCAACTCTGGCCCTGAAAGGCCAAAGCCCAGTCAAAGGTATCGAAAAAAACAGTGTCTCATTCATCAGGCAGAGTTTTGGCACCCATTTCATGTAAAAACTTTCTGGGAGGGCATTAAAAGTTTTGGACGTCTGGTTCCTATCACCACCACTGTGAACAATTCTGATTAGGTACGTTTCTCCAGAGCAGAGCGTTTCGCACCAAACCACTCTGAACGACTCTGTTTACATCTTAACCGCTCAATTCTGCCGGAATTTTGAAAAATCGGTGGGGTTCGCCTTTAACCGGCCCTCAGTCATCTGAAGCCCATGTGCTCCTACAGCAGCATGCTAATGCTAAGGCCGGCTACAAAGGACCTGCTGGCGGTATTACTGCTGGCAGACAACACGATCAAGATTATTCTCACCGAACTGTTCAACCTACAGACCGCACTGAAGTTCACAACGATGAGCCACTTCGCTTAAACACACACACACACACACACACACACACCAAGCTAAACGTGTTAGCCTCGCTGCGGTTAGCATGTTAGCTCCTGCTGGGTTCGGCCTGATAGAGCATTAGAGGCTAAATCTCACCGTTTAACTCTGAAAAATGAGGCAGTCGGTGATGAAGTGAGAGGACTTCCTCTCATACGGAAGGATGTTCACCTGTCCCGGGCTGCAGTCTGCGCACTATGAGCCTCAGCAGCGCTAACAGCTACGCTAAGCTAACAGCTAAATACAGGACACATTTATGACAAAACCACCGAATAAACAGTCAAAACGAGGAGTTTAGAGGCGACGCAGAGGCTCACATCACGAGCCTGGAGTTAGTTTCCTACTGGCAGTTAGTTTCTTTAAGAGTCCAATTCGAACTCGCCGTTCCACCTTAAATGGCGCGGCATTTACATTCTAGCGCCGAGGCGCCACAATATAACTGCTGCATCATTTAAGGTGGAACGGATAAACTAAGCTAACCGAGCTGAAACCGCAAAAACGGCCAGATAACTTAGTTGTATGAAGAAAACACGGCAATTTAAACACCGGAATGCATAAAAGCGACGGTTTTTGGAGATAATACAGAAGTTTACACGGCCTTTCGGCGCCAAGCGCGATTTTACACCAGATTTTTATTGACAGATGAAGTTAGCTGCGGCGGCTAACGGAGCTAGCCTCCTCGGAAACAGGCGGTAAACGGGTCCGAGAGCGGAAAGACGGACAAAGTTAGATTTTCACGGAGTTAAATTTGCGGAATGGTAGCGAACTGGGAGTTAAAATAGCCTCTTTATCGCAGACGAACAGGGTCTGGCAGCTGAACCGGCCGCTTTGTGCAGCAAAGCGGCAGCCGGCTTTTAAATTCACCGTCAGAGACGCGGCGGGTAGAAAAGAGGAGAAAAAGACGCGGATTAAAACCATCCGCCCGCTAAAACCCGCCCGGACGGGCAGGAGGCACACAGACACGCTCTGGGTCAGCTCGCTCACCTTCGGGTCCGCCATGGTTCGGTGGATGTTTGCGGATTGTGGAGTTTTACTGGACGTTTTTCACCCTCACCGCCAGAAAGAAGAGGACGCTCCCGCTTTCGCGCGCGCTCACCGGACCGGCGTGTCGTCACCGCCGCCGCCGCGGGTGACGTCACCCCGCAGAGCGCCGCTGTTTTTCGGTTTCTGTTTGTGGTGTGTTTTGTTTTTATTCCGTTAATAAAGAGTCAGAGCAGCGTTAATAAAGAGTCAGAGCCGGTTTAATGAAGAGTCAGAGCCGGGTTAATAAAGAGTCAGAGCCGGTTTAATGAAGAGTCAGAGACGGTTTAATGAAGAGTCAGAGCCGGGTTAATAAAGAGTCAGAGCCGGTTTAATGAAGAGTCAGAGACGGTTTAATGAAGAGTCAGAGCCGGGTTAATAAAGAGTCAGAGCCGGGTTAATAAAGAGTCAGAGCAGCGTTAATGAAGAGTCAGAGACGGGTTAATAAAGAGTCAGAGCCGCGTTAATAAAGAGTCAGAGACGGGTTAATAAAGAGTCAGAGCCGGGTTAATAAAGAGTCAGAGCAGCGTTAATAAAGAGTCAGTGCCGGGTTAATAAAGAGTCAGGGCCACGTTAATAAAGAGTCAGAGCAGCGTTAATAAAGAGTCAGAGCCGCGTTAATAAACAGCGCGGAGCGGTTTTGTTATTTATTCCGTGGAAATGTGAAGCGGTTATTCCGAGTGTTCCGGGTTTCTGTCTCGGTGCAGCGCTGCTATGGCAACAGAGGTCAGAGAGTACATCAGAAAAAAAAACAACGAAGTTACAGCAGATAGAGAGAGAGAAGAGGGATAGAGAGAGAGAGAGAAAGAGAGAGACAGAGAGAAAGAGGGAGAGAGAGAGAGGAGGGATAGAGCAGAGGATGGAGGAACTGATGAGTGGATGAATGAACTGATGAGTGTACGGATAGATGAACTGATGAGTAGAAGGAAGGATGGAATGATGAGTGGATGGATGAACTGATGAGTGGATAGATGAACTGATGAGTAGAAGGAAGGATGGAATGATGAGTGTATGGATGGATGGATGGATGGATGGATGCAATGACAAATGGATGGAATGATGGATGAACTGATGAGCAGATGGATGAACTGATGAGCGGATGGATGGAATGATGAGTAAATGAATGAACTGATGAGCAGATGGATGGAGTGATGGAATCATCCTTCTTTTAGTAAATTCATCCATCCATCCATCCTTTTTTCAAGTAATTCACTGACAGATGAATGGGTGGATGGATAGATTCATTTACTGACAGAAGGATGGACAGAAGGATTCATGCACCGACAGAAGGATAAATAGATGGATCGATTAATGGAGAGTGAATTGATAGATTAATTGATAGAGGGATAATGGATGGATGGATTCATTAACTGACAGAAGGATGAGTGAATGGATAGGTTAACTGATGGAAGGATTAATGCGTGGATCAACAGATAGATAAACAGATGGATGGATGAATTAAATAATGGAAAAAGATGGGTGGATGGACAGACTGATGGACGAGTGGCTGGGTGAAGGGATGAACTGACGAAAGGATGCAGGGACGTGTGAGTGGATCAGCAGGTGGATGGAAGGATGGATGGATGATTAATTGATGGATCAATAGATGAGTGGAAAATTAACCAGTGTGTGGATGGATAGATTAACTGGTGGCAGGACAGAGTCACTGATGGATGGATGGATGGATGGATGGATGGATGGATGGCTCTCCTTCTTTATCTGGACATCACCAACCCCTAAACCCACAGATGAAGGGCGGCAGTGTTGTTCTCTGTCCTCCCAGCAGGGGCCGCCAGACTCACACGGGTCTTTGCTTATATATACAATTAGAGCAACATAAAGAGAAAATCCAGGCTGCATTTCATCCTCTACTGTTTTATCTACTTCTGTCCACAGTGACAGTCTGTCAGTGTCAGAAACCACACGAGCAAGATCATTTTATCAAAATTTCCCACATAATTCAGTGTTTAAGATGTAATCAGAGAGATTCAGAGTGGTTTGGTGTGAAATAATTCAGATGTCTTTGGTGGTGGTGATAGGAACCAGGGGTCGCCATGACTACAACACAAATATAGTCATTTTATTTACTATCCAAAACCACCAGTGAACCTACACGAGTCTTCTGAGTTTATATGGAATGTTGATGATGGGAAAATAGTGGAAAATCTGAAATAAAACATTTTCTTTGGGCACTATTTAATCATGCTGCATGTATCCTTCCACTCTGATGAACTTTAAATATGAAATATTCTCAAAATCAGGCAGTGAATTCATAACCATTTTCTGTAGTAACTTTCTGTGAGGGAGCGTTTAGAGATGGACGTCTGGTTCCTATCACCACCACTGTAAAGACATCTCAACCATTTCGCACCAAACCACTCTGAACGACTCTGTTTACATCTCAAAAATAGTTTTTTTTTGGAATTCCCTTCTAACAGCTCCACATAATGTAGGTTTTAATATAGGCCCCTGTAAGAGGTCTCAGATCAGGCAAAGCAGAAAAAAGTCCAGTATCTGTGCTGAGAGGTGGGAGTGACCCGTCTGAGTGGCGTTTACATTCCAGCTGTGAGACCTTGGAAGAGGCAGGCCAGAGGAATGCTGGGAGGACAGCGTCTGTATCTGTTTATATCTCTGCTTTCAGAGAGAGAGAGAGAGCAGAACCATCACAGCGCAGGACGTCATCTCAGTATAGAGGACAGACAGACCAGCGCGTGTTGTGTTTTGGATGCTGGTACGCTGGTCAACCAGCATGACCATGCTGGGGTGACCAGCTAAACCAAAACCAGACCAGAATAAACCAGAATAAACCAGCATGGAACTAATGCTGGTCTGTGCTGTTTTTTCAGCAGGGAAACTTATACTTTCTATAAGTTTCTCCTCCATGTTTTACAGGATGTATAACAGCTTCCAGATTACATCATATTTTTAAAATATAATTGAGGCCTCAATATCGATTTCAGTCCTTCATTGTAATAAACTACAATGAAATCCATATAAAAGTACATTATCTATTTAAAAACATGATTGAAGTAAATCATTAGAATGTCCTATATGTCTCCATACCATTAGCATGGATGCTAATTAACCCACCGTTTCTGTATTTGCTAATTCTGTAAAAATATTATATTTAAGATATTGCTCCTGAGATGGTTAACACACCTTTAAGGGTTAAATACATGTTTTCTTGTTGAAAAATTATATAAAATGAAGTTACTTAGTTTTAGGTAATTTAAAGATACCTAATATTAGCTAATGGTGTAGTTAGCATGTGACGCTAATGCTAACGGCTAGTCAGAGAAGCTCTGTGTCTTTATGAAGACAATATAACTAAATATTTCTGTTAAAGTTTGCTAGTAGAAATTAATAAAGTGTCACGGTAATTTAATAATTAGATTTGCATTCTATTTACTGCATGTAAACTGACTTTTCATTTTTGCGAGTTAAATGTGTTCCTTTATATCTTTCCTAATACTTCCTTCTACCTCTTCACTAATCAGTAACACTATCGAGAGCTACTATATGGCAAAAAAGCATACCTTGTGTTTCAGAATCCTCAATAAGGTGTGATATTTGAGAAATTAAGAATTTATATACACTCTCAAAACTCACTATAAGAACGATTAGACCTGTAAACCATTTCAACCCATGAAGAAAATATCAGGCAGAATTTCCCCTCATGTCAGAGTTCATTTTATTGTTTAAATATACATATACATTTTCTCATTTTAAATACCCCTAAACCTCCCTCCCCCCTCCCTCCCCCTCTCCACACTCCTCCTCTTTGCACTTGTTCATTATCCCTCCGTCCTTCTCTAAGAGAAATCACACACCCCTCTATCTGTGCAGCATATTGCTTTTTCTTTTTTTTCCTTTTTTCTTTTGTTTTCTTCGTTTAAGACATCTGCGAACATAAATTAAAATACTACCACTTGCTTCCTGTAGGGGGAGCCAATGCTACAAAACTGGTGGGTTAGCGAGCTAACCGGTTCAGCGCAAGATGGCTTTGAATTCACATCCTCACTTCACTGTCCTCTGCGTCTCTGAAGATAAAACCATGAACCGTAAAGTTGGCTCACTACGTAAATCAATAGTTTGGTGAAAAATCGGATTTGACACAGTTTTCCTCCTTGAGCGAAACGTCGTCAATCAGCCAAGACCAAAGTTTACTTGCACTGGAGCTATGAGGCTAACATGGCTAGCAAGTTGTAGAAGTTTATACCCCTGAACTGGTGCATGGCGCGATTGTCTATTTTCACAGATAACAGTGTTAAAAACTAGGGATGCCCCAATATGGGAACTGTGGGTCAATGTTGACATCTGATACTGTTCATCTACATATCTGTCAAAACAAACAGAAGAAATTAGGACTAAATCTACCTGGATTAGCATTACAGAGCATTGCATAGAAAGTAATACCTGTTGTTGAGGGTTAGAAATGTAGTAAAATGAATAAAATGGAGATATTTTAGCACAGCAGCCCAGTGTTGACTAAGCATTTTTGCTGGACAATAAATACGTCATCAAGTATTGGTTTGAAATGTCTGTCGTATCTCAACATTTGTCCAATGCTGATAGAATTTTAAGCATATTTCTGCAGACACCCTTTCAGAAACCACATAGGCAGCTCAATGTTTGAGTGATGATTCAGACACGCAGTTAGTGCTGTGCTAATTGGTGAGGGATAAGCTTCCATTACTTGCCATTATTAGCCTCGTAGCTCCAGTGCTAAACATACACAGAAAACTTAGTACACTGGGCATGTCTTGACTTACTGATTTGGAGTTTTGCGCAAATTTCCCTTCTTCACCAAACTATTGGTTTAAAGCCCCAATTGGGAACAAGCACCATGTTGCCGCACTTGTACTATCCAAACGCCCTACGTCTCGCAGTACTTAGTTTCGTCCTGTAGGTGGCAGTGTTTCCCAATTAGGACCCAGTTTTGTAGCATTTCTGCTCCCAGTCAGCCTGTTCATAAAAGAATTACTCAAAATGTCAGTGCCCTTCCCTCTGCGTGCACGCTCTGCTTTCAGGTCAGTGCTGTGGTCAGTGGAGGCCTTTCACGTCTCTTGTCCTGCTGGTTGCCGTCT